GGGGGGGGGGGGGGGGGGGGGGGGGGGGGCCTCTGAACCGGTCTCAAGGGGACGTCGCCGTAGGTCAGTGGTGCACAACCTTTCCCCCCGAGAGGGCCAAATTGAGGCTCATGTTCGAGGGATTCGAGGGCCGCAGACCCTCGAACATGAGCCGAAATAAGCCGAATATAAATTTGGATCTTTAGACACCAGAAGGGCCGCGAAAAAGGTCTCCGCGGCCCGCAGCTTGTGTATCACTGCCGTAGGTCAAAGAAATTCTAGGAAGCCGGCCAATAGGAGTCGAGGAGGGTGGAGCTCTTCACGTTGCCCCTTTCTTCGGGTGCTTGGGTCATGTCTGCCATCTATTTCTTGGAAGTGCAAGCAAACCATTGTAATGGACCTCTATGGTGCAAACTTTTGACACGACTATCATGAATACGTTCCCAATCTGCTTGCAAATCCGTAACAGTAGCGACCATCTCTGTGGAATACATTTTAAATGCAAGTATTTCCATTTAATGAATGTGGACAATCACATCTGACAGTAAGTTCTCTGTGAGAAATCGATCTGACAGAAGAGTTTCATCTCAATCATGGAAAGCCATTGATTCTGTTCTCATTAACCGAAAATATGCAGTTTCACTCAGTCAAGGATAAAGTGAGAAAGAACATCTGTACCCAGAGAGTATGATCACGATTGCCGGACTGTACCAAAGTGAATATGATATATTCCTTTCGCTTAGTTGCCGCCTAACATTGAGTAAATGTAATGCTTGTAATTTATTCAATTTCTCATGAACTAAATTGTTAGAAGTTGACTTTTCTACCAAATAAATCGTAAAAGAACAAATTCCTCTTGAGAATAGTTGCTCTAATTACTGTCAACTCCAGCAGTGAGGACTTTAGATATGTCCACTTTTTTTTGTTTCTATTTTTGTCCCCCCCCCCCCTCCCCCCCACCTTTTAAACATCTGTGGCAATACATGTGCTCAAAAAATAAAAATAAAATGTTAGAAATGTGAGTTCTCATGGCTGTGTGACATGTAGGTCATATTTTAAATTTTATTATGGTCAATAGACATGAAACATGAGGCAAATTTTTTCTAACAGAGTAGTCATGCTGATAAAAAGATCTCCAGATTCTTCAGTGAGAACGTCTTTTTTTTTTAGTCTTTTTTTTATTGAGTTGCTTTTGTTTGCAGGTCTACTGCAAAGAATGATTGAATTGCCTAAATATGGCTTCAGAGGCCCTCCTGTTGTTGGAGAACCAGATTCATATCCTCTTAAACGTCACCAAGGGTTCATCTTACGATTCCGGCAGATACTTCCATACCTCTATTCATGGCCAAGGTATGTTGACTGTGTTTTAATCATTTCAGGAATGAAAAAAATGTGAAAAAAAGACATTTTTTCAAGTTCTCACTTTCCCTACCAACGCTTGCATGAATGTGGCATCGCAAGATGGTATATAGTATACATATTAGGTGTCAAGGTATAAACTCTAGATGACATTGTCTTGAAAGACTAAGGCGCATTGTGCTTACATATCTTCTCTCTCGTGGTCTGTGCACTTCATTAGCACTTGTGGAAGTGAGAGGGTTGGTAACCATGATGCCATAAGCCAAGGAGGTGTGAATATTTGAAAGTAAGTGTATTATGTTGGCTAATGGCAATGATCATAATGGATGTGCACCTTTTGGGGGGGGGGGGGGGGGGTTGGCTCCCAAATACCCATGTTACTATACCATTTCAAACTGCAATATTTTCCAAACTGCTACAAGCAGATCACTGTTAGCATTGACAGAAAGAACATCCTTTTTTTTCATGATAATGACTTGGTATCAGACTCAAATGGAAATTGCTTCGAATGCATATGCCACATATTCATAGGATTTTTCAAGTACTGGATAGTTGCTGTTCATGCATGCCTCTATCTCCAGGTGATGATGGAGCCCATATCTGAAATTTAAAATTGTATCATGTTTATTTTTAGGTTTTTGGCTTGGTTCATTCGAGATTGGTGGAATGGAAAAAGGCCATTCATGAATGTCTTCCGTCTGATCCAAAGCCAAAGAATATATGGTATGTTGGCCTGAAAGAAAATGTTTACTTGCCATAGAGGAACTTTTGGATGAATGGAGTTCTTTGTTAAATGTAGATATGCAATTAGGAACTATTTGGCCTGAAGTGATGGTGGCATTAAAAAAAGAAGAAAGTACAAGGCAAAGCCATGTCCAGTGGCTAGTCTTTGTCCAATGTACCATACCAATTAGGGCTGTCAATCGATTAAAAAATGTAATAGATTAATTGTGATTTATTTAATCGATTATTTGGTTGATTAATCAAATTTTAATTGATCCCTCTGTTCCTCCTTGAATCATGTCCAAGGCATTGGGAATGATTCTGCATGTGTCATGCCCAACACCTAGGTGATCCTCAGGAAGTGACTCAAGGCGATGCAGTCGCTGACAACAGTTACTATCTATACATACACTAGTTTGCCCTACAAGTAACAAATTCCAGTTGGAAAGAAAATAGTTACACCTTAGCCAGATAAATAATGAAATGTAAGCAAAGAAGCCCTTTGCCAACCTATAATGGAAGGATGCAAAAATGGAACCTGAATGATTGGACAAATCCAGTAACACTTCATTACATGGAGCTTTAACACTTTCGCTCCGGTGTGCATTTAAATTGGGTTATTCACAGAACCTGGGGTATTTTAGGGTTCAGAAAACATTTCATCAAAAAATAATGAGCAGTGACAGAAACTTGATTGCTGATTAATTTTATTTGCAAAGTAAGCAGTTTGTTGAGGAATACATATATATTTCAGAATCCAATTACTTAGTGGAATCAACTCAAATTGAAATTCATGTCACATTTCACAGAAAATAAATATTTGTACTTGTAGTGAATATCATGGGACTTAATCTTTGTCTTAAAGTCTCTGCATGTTATTTTTTGGCACATTATTCCCAGAACCTTTTCTTCATGTGGTAAGCCTCAAAACACAGAATGATGCATAATGGCACTCTACAGACACTGCACTGAATTGTATTCTTGCATCTCTTCTGCCCACTTCGTTTTTGAGGTTTGACACCACACTTTTCTTGAAAGTGATTTCATGTTATAGATTTATAATTTATAATACTTACCACCTGATTCATTTTCAAGTTCCAACCAAGGATTAGAAGATATTTAGTTGTTTATATAAAAAAATGAAAGATTTTGTGATGCAGCACAACGCGGAGCAGAAGACCCTCTGCTGCCATGCTGCTCATTTACAGCCGACTGACACAACTCTTGTTTCAGCTCTGTTTTGTGCAATTTTCTAAAATCTAGCAAGAGGGTAACAAAATACAGACTCAAAACCATGAATATCTCCAAACCCCAATGATGCATCAAAATCCTACACTTTTATATCACAGCTCCAGGACGTACTAGTATGGCATGCAGAGCGAAAGTGTGAAAGGCTGTAGGCTAGGTAGAAGGACATGGGATGTGTACCAGTACGCTTGTGGATGCGAAGGGGTCAGGAAGCTTTTTTTTGGAATGGTCTGGAAGCAATGGTTTTTGTGTGTCCCTTTTTCCAAAAATAGTATGTTGTTTTTGAGGAAGAGTGCAAAAACAACTATTTTCTATTAGCTATCATTGCATTTCATTTCCTTGATAAAGTATTCCTTTTCATTTGTTTTGCAAAACTGTGAACTACACAGCAAAATTCTAAGGGAAAAAGGAGGCATTCAGGGAGGGATTAGAGGGTCGATTAATTTCGACTAATTTTTTAAATTGCGATTTATACTTTAATTGATTAATCACAGTCAATTAATCTAATAGAATTGACAGCCCTTTTTAAAATTAATTGTTCCTACCTCTGACATGATGTCACTTAGCAGTTGATTCAGCCATATGAGCATCAAGCAAAATGATTTGAAATCTTGATTGAGTGGGCCCTTTGCCAATGCCGGTGACCCTTACCCCAAAGTTCCAGTGAAGGAAATGTTGGTTCCAGCTTTTGTCAATTGGATCATAGAAAATAAAATATTGTTAAGAGTATGGAAAGTCAATTTGGGAACTCTGTACCAACCAAATATTGTCAGGGACAGTAGTATTCAGAAATCAGTGGCAAAAACTTGGCACTGATGCAGCAGGCATCTGGGTGTTTGGATATATTGGGTAGCCATGAGAAAGAACAGGCATAGGCTACTTACATGAAATCATTTTAAGAGAAATCTTTCTACCTTTTGCTTTCAGAATCCAAGAGCATTACATCATATGCAGTCACATCTTCCATGAAGAAACTTATTTCACTTATATGCTCAGAGATGAAACTAGCAGAAGCAGGGCACTTGTCCAGTCATACATGACAGTAATGTAGTTGAACCTATTAGTAAAACAACATGTTTATTAAATGATTGGAAAGAGTTTCTCATTTTATTGTTGAACCTTTATTGGTCAGATGTGGTGAGATGTAGAATGCAGAATCCCTCTATAAACAACTATTTGAATACCAAGCTTTTTTTCTCCATATAAATTCTTTAAAGTATCAGCTGCATTGGTTTCTATGATTAAATGTCAGATTTTTTTTCACATGTTTTTCCTCTCTGAAAACTGGATTTCCTGCTCCAATAAATAAATGGATGGAAATTCAAATGTTCAGAAATCTGGACACTGGATGCAAGAGGTGATGGATTACACTGTATAGGTTACTAACCCAATTAGGCTAAAAAATTGAAGCGAGTAGAATATTAGAAAAAGTGGAGGGTAAAATAGACTAGATCTGGGATGCACAAGCTCCAGGGTGCTGAAGGATTTAATCTGGCTTGCCGCTGGATGAAATCCTTCTGCTGATACTGTCATCCAATAAGATATGCCATACCATTGGAGATTGTCCTACATCCCCCAATGTCTGGCATGTGATGAGTACCCAATAGTCATCTGGCCCTTAAGCAAAAAAGGTTTTGCATCCCCGTACTAGATGGACACAATAGGAATGAATGTTTCTTAACTGGACACAAGTTACTCAGAGCTAAAAATATTCATGCAACAGGTTTTGATACTGTTTGTTGAGCTCAATGGCTTGCTTTTGAGGAGACTTCCTGGAGTGTAAAATTATGTGGTGCATTGACAGGTCTTCTGAGATGTTTCCTTTTATGACCATATTTGTTGTTTTCCATCCAAAATAGTGTTTTTCACATGTTGTGGTCTCTAAACATTGCATATCTATGTGTTTTATTGCTTGCTTATGCTGGGAATCTAAGTTTTCTCTTTTCTTCCTGTTTGAGGAGTTTGATGTTGAAATATGGGAACATTTAGGAATGCCTTATTAGACCTTCCAATTAGAGATAATGGCAATCCTGTGATCATTCTTACAGCTGCTCCAGTGGGTGGAATGGGGGGTGGGACCATTGGGAGGAGCATTACAGGTGGATTCTGTCGCTTCCAGATGGCACCTGGGATATATGAGTACAATTCAGTCTATGGTGACAACTTCATTCTCACTGTCAGGAATCGACTAGGGGGTGTCATTATGCAAACAACCCTCAGTCCAAGGTCTGAAGGGAGAATTCATTGAATAAACCAAGGAAAACCCACTAGACATTGGTACATATTTCATCTTGACTTTGCAGGGAGAAGAATGTTTCCACTAGGTCCCTATCATCATGGAAATGTAACTTAGAGAAGAAAGACATCTGCCACATCTCACTCTACCCATGTTCATGGTATATATATGACCTGAAGCAGGTGAACATCAAACTTACTTGCAAACAGATCTCTCCCATCATCCCTCACAACTACAAGGTTACTTTCTGAACATGAAAGGAAGAAACCAATAGCAATCAACCTAAATCTATGAACTTGAATATGGTGCAACCTTTCAAGGCCTAGGAGTCAATGATGTTTAATGCATCATATCAAAGCTTCCCCTCATCTCTTAACCCCTTAACTAAGGAGTTTTTCCACTCCATACATTCTGCAATGGCAGAAGTTCAAATGCTGAAAAGCGGTTGACCCAGTTAAGGGGTTAATCAGTCTTTCAAGGCAGATCTTTTATCTTGGAAGCATGAGTCACAGAGACTGAACCACTTGGTAGCAGCAAAAGGCAGCTCACATTTCAAATCACGATCAGTCTAAGGCTAACTTCAAAATGACAGTTTGGCTGCAGTTCTACTATAGTCATATTATGGTTAAAGTTTGTGATTGCTGTCAGTTAAGTAACTATGATTTGGCCATAAATTAATTGTGATTTTAAAATAATTTTTCAATTCCTGTTAAGAGTATTTAAACTAAAGTCAAATCACTTTCACCTCTCCATTCAGTTGCTCTTCTGTTCAACTGCTGTCAGATTATCATTGAATTGTGTTGACATGATCTCTTCACTCTCTTCTCCATTTGCTGTTAGTAGTCACAATGGAGAACTGTTTCAATTAATTTTTCCCAAAGAGGTGACTTATGGAATGGCCTACATGATAAGAGGACTGCTGAAATTTTTATGTGAAATAGGTGACTGGTTAATCTCTACCAGCTTCAGTTAAGTTGTATTATGAGCTATGGAAAAGTTAATGAACTTAATGTCAAGACATAAATAGACTAGTCTGATTATGGTTGAACAGAAAAGCAACTTAATTGTTGGTAAATATAATCTGACTGTTGTTGAAGCCCTGTTGAACTGAACATGGTGCATGATTTTGAATCACAATCTATTAACGTCAGTCAAATTATCGTTCAGAGGTCCCATTGACTGCAATCCAGCCTCATTTGAACCATAAAAGGACTTTTCTTGAATTGGAATTGAATTACCATTTTGAAATTGGCCTTTGACTCTTGGAACTTCTGTAACTTTTAATAATGGTGTGAGTTGCTGCTGTCCTAGTGACTTTGTTGCTTGGCACTAGAGTAATTTTCACTTCTCATGTTACACCTAAGAGTGTAATATGAGAAGTACCTGTTCTACAGGACCTTCTTTGAATGCATTTCAAGCATGTGGTACCCAGATGCACTAGCTAATATATTACTGGAGATCTAGAATTGTTTCCTTGGTTTCCTTCTTAGTTTTTCTTGATCAAAAGAACTTATCATATTTAAAGTCTTGCATGTGTCATTTGCAATGCAGGACAGCTGTCTGCCAGTGGGAGTGTTTGTATGGGAGGTGGAAAATATGGGAATGAAGGCACAAGAAGAAGTGGAGGTAAGTCTCACAATGACTTGGAAGAGTGGCACTGGGGATGCAAAAGAAGATGGAGTCCCTGGTCAAAGCGTGGAGACGCTGTCCACACAGGACCATTCCCGCATTTTACTCCTTCGACACTCCAAGGAGTCTCAACCATTGACATATGGAATTGGGACTCGCACTGACGTGGATTCAGGGGTGAAAGTGACATGGTTGAAGCACTTTGACCCCAAGGGATCTGGGGAAGATCTCTGGGATCTCCTGCTGTCTGGTAAGGGACTTGGGAAAGAGGAAGGAGGGATGAAAGGGAAGGAGATGGGCATGGCCCTTTGCCTCTCTTTCTAAAGCACTTTGACCCCAAGGGATCTGGGGAAGATCTCTGGGATCTCCTGCTGTCTGGTAAGGGACTTGGGAAAGAGGAAGGAGGGATGAAAGGGAAGGAGATGGGCATGGCCCTTTGCCTCTCTTTCTTTCTTGCACCATCATCCAGCAAACAGGTGGCCTTTGCCCTGGCCTGGGACATGCCAGTAATACGCTTTCCACAAGGAAGTCAGAGTTACAAGCGGTGAGACCCCATTTGCCTTGTTTGCCTGTCCAGGTTCCCAACCTTATCTTAGTCTTGTTTCTGTGGTCATCCTTGCAGACGCTACACACGATGGTTTGGACATGATGAGAGCACTTGCCAGAGGCTCATTGATTATTCATTGTCAAATCATCATGAATGGGAAGAGGAGATCGAGAAGTGGCAGAAGCCCATACTGGGAAATCCGTATGTCCTCACTTGTGTCTCATATGCCAGCAGAATGAGGTTCTATATATTTTTAAAATTCTCTTCCATAAATGCAGGGATCTACCAGATTGGTATAAGAGTGCTCTGTTCAATGAGCTATATTATGTAGCAGATGGTGGAACTCAATGGTTGGAGATGCCCAATGCTTCTCAGCTGCTGTCCCCACAAGATCCAAGGTGAAATAGGCATAGTTCACTCAATTACCTAGCACATTACCTCTTTGTTAAGTCTTGCCTTCTGCATGTTCCAAGTTGAAATTTGCAGGTTACTGGTCAAGGGCAGGTTTTATTGTGCCACTACTTAAAAAAAATGTAGGTTTCAGTTGTTACCAATTTGATCTGAATCATTTTTGGCCTCACTGGCAGAGTATGTCATAAAGAATAGAAAGGAAAGTTATATTTGTGAATAGCAAAAAAAGAAATAGATGGGGAAAAATTCAATTCCCAGAAAAGTTTTTCTTGAATATGTGTTTAACTAGCACTCTTACAGTTTCAACCCTTTAATAGCTGATGGGTCTGAAATTGATTGGTATCTGTGAAGTTGCCCCAGTCAACTGCATTGAATCATATGATAATTGCAATTTGAAAGTAATGGTTCTAATCACAACCTTAACTTCATTTGGTTCTAATGAGCCTATTAAGTATCTGCTCAGAACCACTTTACAACTTAAAAACTGAGAAATCTTGACCCTAATGACCCTTGACCTTGACCCTCCCCCTCCCACATAGATATGTAGATGACATGCTTGAAGCTGCTGACTGAATTTTTACTTTTGCAATATCCACATGTAACTTATTCCATTCCTCATTCTTATTCATGAAAATTGTTCCCCCAATTCTCCAATTTTTATATTTCTTATTGTACTGTGAGATCTCTTTGGCACTTGGTACCCAATGAAAATAGATTTATTGAGGGCTAGGGCTCTATCTCATCGCACTTTGGATTTTTCCAAAGGATGGAGTATGGTCGTTTTGCCTTTCTGGAATCCCATGAGTACGTGATGTTCAACACATATGATGTCTACTTCTATGCAACTCCTGCCTTCATCAGCCTCTGGCCCAAGATTCACTTATCCATTCAGTATGATTATGCTGAGGCCATTCCAAAGGAAGACCACACCATTGTGCATCATATCTGGCAGAGGACACATAGTCCTCGAAAATTGGCCTATTGTGTCCCACATGACCTTGGCTGCCCATGTGAGACTCTCATAGTTGTTTTTCAGGGAAATTAGTGCTTGGTATGAATTTTTTATTCCAATCTTTTGATGCCACTTTAGTCTGGAATCCATTTGAGGAATTGAATGCATATCCAATCCATGACACATCTGAATGGAAAGACCTGAATCTCAAGTTCATGCTGCAAGTCTACATTGATTATAGGGCTTTCAAGAATGTTGATTATGTCAAGGACATGTGGCCAATAGTCTTGAAGATTCTGGAAAGATCACTGCGATGGGATTATGATGGAGATGGCCTCATTGAACATGCTACCTTCCCTGATCAGACGTATGATGTATGGACCATGATTGGATCCAGGTACTATAAATTACAGTGCAATTTAGATATACTTACCACACTACACTGAATTCAGTATTTGGAATTTCATTAACTCCAGTGCATATTGTGGAGGCCTGTGGGTAGCATCCTTACATGCAGTGATGAAGATGGCCCAAGTCCTTGGGGTTATTGAAAAAGCAGAGGAACTAAGAAAAATGAGGGATAGAGCACTTGCTGCATACAATCGCAAACTCTGGAATGGTTAGATATGAATCCACTGAATTTCTTATTCCAGTGCCACTCATTGGATACTTGTCTGACTTATACCTCTTGGGTCCTCATATATTCCTGGCTCTGTCTCTATGTAATTGAAAGTGACTATGGCTGAAGCAATGTATGGTGACCATACACATCTCCCTGTTCCTTTTCTTATTCTGCCATCATTCCTCACTGTATCACAGGTAAATTCTGAGTGTTCCATTTTACATCATGCTTACTGCTTCTTGTAAGATGAGGGGGATTCTTTGCAGAAGACTGAGTCTGTATGCAAGTCCTATTGGCTATTGACTATATGAAGAGGAAACTCTCTTCTGAAGAAACTTTTAGTTTCCTTTTCAAATGACCCTGTTGCTCATTGATGCTACAATAAAGTAAGTTACTATAGGCTACTACTAAAAGAGCTACTACTTAAAACCCATGAATGAATTCCATTGTAGTCCCATATAAGAGCCAAGTTATCCCTAATCTTTGGACACTTGAATTGGTTCAAGTGGAGAGATACACTACTGGGTTTAGTCTTCATCACTGGGATTCTTTAGTGTCCCACATTCAGAGACATGAGTGCTGTGTGCATAGAGGTCTCCCTTTTCCAACATTCTGAATATTGCATTTAAAGGTTAAGTTGCTTCCAGTCCTGGATCCCCTTCCATGGTAGTCATGTTTACTCTCAACAAAGACACTCAATCGCCCCTTTAAAGAGGTAGGAGAGCTGGTGGCCCCTACCAAGTGACAAATGTTGCAAGCAAATGTCACTGCCATATGATCACATGTTAGCTGTTGGTTCAGAGAAGTCATTTGGACTGCATATCATCATGGTCCAACCCTTTAGGAGTGGTATTTCTCCATGTCAGGCTTTCAAGCGCACAACACAAGGGTATCAATCAAAGCCCCATGGCTATAAGCTCCTGTATTATGTCCAACGCTTGTCACACCTGAAACACCCTTTTTAGAGCTTTAGAGCAAGACCCTGGTGGAAATGGAGAATTGGGACAGAGAGTAATGAGAGTACATATCCTGCATAACAGTGATGATTGGGCCAAGGACTAGGCATGGAGTATCCCTTCTGCCCTAATGAAGTATGCAGGGAACAGCTTTATTGCATAAGAGAAATAACCCCAAAGATGCTCTACCTATGCATTAACTCATTACTTATTTTCTAAGTAAAATAGGCAAAATAAAAAGGGATGGAGAGGTAGATAGAGTGACTTTGAATTGCTTTAGCTATAGGAGTGTCTTCTATTACATTAAGACAGAGCAAGAATAAATAATGAGATGGACATCAGACTTTTATTATCCTACAAAAGGCTTTTATTCTATAAACTTCATGACATGTTTGATCGAACTCTAGGGGAATACTACAACTTTGATTGCTCAGCTGGAATGCACCATAAGGTTATTATGGCTGATCAGCTCTGTGGCCATTGGGCCCTCCTTCTTGCTTCTGAAGATGAGGTAGGGTTGATGGTAGCCCCACCTTTCAATCTATTTTCCCTCCCTTTTCAATGTCATTTCCTTGTGCAGGATGTGTTTGGAGCTAAAAATGTCGCATCTGCTTTGACGCACATATACCAAAATTGTGTAGAAAAGTACTACAATGGTCAGCAGGGAGCTGTGAATGGCTATGTTCCTGGTCAAGGAGTCGACCAGTCATGCTTACAGAGTGAGGAAGTCTGGACAGGAGTCTCTTATGCCCTTGCTTCTTTTCTCATCTCTCAGGTTTGTCATCAGCAGTCTGTATCTTTTCATGAATGGTAAGCTCATTCCTCACCATACCTCACTTTCTCTGCAGGGAAGGAAGGAAGAGGGATGGAAAACAGGGAAAGGCATATATTGCAGTGTGTGGGAGAAGAGTGGACTGGCTTTCTCAAGCCCTGAAGGCCTGCAAGAATTGACATCATATCGAGCTCCTGGGTACATGCGTGCCTTGGCCATTTGGGCCATTCAAACTATTCTTGATCGTTCTTAGTTCACTATCAGCACTGTGATATTACTCAAATGCTCATTAATTCACATTTCCACACATCCTTGGTAAATTGTGATGCAGTAGACATTGGCGGATTTTTTCAATATTTTTATCTGGTATGGTTTCTTGAGTAAATGGTAATCAAATGAAAAATTGATGCCTTTTATTGATAGATTCAGACCAATGAGGTGAGGCCTGCTTTGTGATGAGTATGGTCACATCACCCTTTTCCACAGTTCTTGGTTGGAACAACCTATATTATTTTATTGAATCCAAATATGGTGATGTTTTTTGGAGGTTTTTTTTAAAAAAAACTAGGTTAATTTTAAGAAAAGCCCAAGGCTGTTTTTTTTTATTGTGGGCAACGAGGATGTTTACTACATGATTACAAAAATATTGAATTTAGCACATTGAAGATGGGTCGCATGTTTACTTGTTTTTTCAAGTACGTGCAGGAAGGACAGGTCACATGTAAACACATTTTTTGCATATGACTGAGAACCATGCTATTCCTGTCATCTATTGAGGGTTTTTCAAACTGCTTGAATGACTGTCATTGAATTGGAAGCTTGTAGCTTTATGATGGTTTTCTAAAATGCCTAGGAACCAGGAGTATGATAGAATGTGTTCATCCAGTCCTCAGTGTGCTAAGGCTAAAAATGGTTGTTGTAGAAAACTTGAAGTTTTTAAAAGAAAAGGGTAATGATCAAAATGCTGATGATGTTGAGCAAAAGGCAACAGTAGCACTGAAATAATAACTTGTAAAAGTGCACAGTAGGCCATGATTCTGTTATTGGTTTTGCTTTGCTGTCTTGGGAACTGTATACAAATGAATTTTGCAGTTGATGTTCTGATTAGTGTTAAGTTGCTGAATATAATTTTTCATTGCAGTGTCACTCAGTTAACTTTGGAATAATAATGAAAAATTGCATTGTAGATGGAGGCTTATTGAAGCATAAAATCTATTCAATTGAAAGTTCAAATGAAGTTTGTTCAAATATAATTTGTCTTTCCAAGATCCAGTTTGAGAAAACTTTTCCTGGGTCTATCATGCAGTCAGGTCAGATGGAGGCTGCTTCTTGAGGTGCCTCTGAAACTCCCTCTGAATAAGTTTTTATGCTTCAATACACCTACATCCATGCTGCTATTTCTAATTGATTTTCAAATGTTAAGAGAAGGAATTTCCATTGAAAGCCAAGTTCAGAAATGAAAAAATGTGAGAGCATCAATTGCAAGATTCATCCACTGTTCCTGGAACAACAAAATACAATCTGGAACTGACACGTGACAAACCCTTATTATTTTTATCTCAATCTTGGAGAGGAACTAGATTGATGAAATTGAAACTGTCCCTGCCAGATTTTGAATGCTGAAAATTTCACAAAAGTTTTTGTACCTTTTCCCTCAAAAATTTGTTTCATTTCATTTGTAAAATTTTTTAAATTTAATATTTAAAAAACCTAAAACCCCTTTTTTTTTGTTTTTTCAAGTGAGTTCCATCCAAAAAAGCCAGGAGGAAAATCCACTGTTTTATCCTGCTTGGGGAAAGTTGAGGCCAAACTTAGATCAATTTCTTTGTTTAAATGAATTAAATTTTAATGATAATTTGAGGTTTCAATCTTGTAGGTTGCAATTGACCCTTTTATATTCCTGTGTCAGAAAATATAAGGGCAATCATGAAGGGTCCCCCAAAGTATGGATTCTGTGGTCCTCCAAAGCACTGGGACCCGAATTCATACCCTCTGCAGCGGAAACAGACAATCATTCTTCGTTTCAACCAAGTCTTGGCTCTCTTCATCTCCACCCTTAGGTGAGTCCTCCATGTAAGCTTCAAGCATTTGTAGATCATGGAGAGTTGATCAGGTAGTATTATTCCTGCAAAGTACAGCTGCCTGTGCCCAGACTTATAGTTCATGCTTGCATTCAGCTTCCTTCATACTTCTTTATTTTCAAATGTAGAGCTAACTAGGAAATCTTGGTGGATGTATGAAGTATCCTTCTAATTGGGAGCAAATGTTGAAATCAGAGCTGCTCCACTTTCCATCCCTTTGGTCCTCCCTTCCTGTCTCAGTTTGGATTATTCGAATAAGAGTGAAGTAAGCTAGGAGCTTAGGAAATGGAATTAGCCATTTAACACATGTGGTAAATGTGATAAATGCATTTACTGTGACAGAATATGGTACTTTGTATTTGTGTCTGTTAGCACTATAGTAACCAGATAACTGAATATTACTCTGTGAAATAGTACACATATAGTTCATCCAAGCCCAGAGAGGATCAGATGCCATGAGCCCTTAATGGAGTGCCATTTCCTATGACCTGTCAAAGGCTGTCAAGCCCCTGCTTTCCTTTTGTGTAAAGCCTGTTTTTTTTTTCTGGAATGGAAGGAAGAGTATGACAAATGGGACCTTTGCTGGTCTTTGTGGATTAACCACTTAACCAGCAACTCCAAGAATTGAGGAGATCTCTGGAAAAGGGGCATATGTGCCCATATGCCCTCTTTCCATATCTGTGTCCATGTGCTTCTTTAGGTGACTAGTCAGGATAGGGTGGTCAGCTAGTAGTTAACATGCATATTCAGCAAAAGAGAAGCAGATTTTCTTATGCTCTCCCTGAATAGCAGGCGAACTGCCTGGCAATTTCAATATGGCTGCCTCCATGAATATTCCATTAGCACTTGAGTGCTGAATGATTTTGGTAAAATTATTTTGTCCTTTTAAAATGAGCGTGAAAATGAGGAAGAAACCAGACATGAAGAAAGGGAAAGAAAGAGGTAGAGTCATTCAAGCCTCAGGAAGGATGTGAGAAGATGGAGATATCCATGAAATAGTTGAAAATTCAGATGATGAATATATTAATAATGGATCACTGCTGAGCAATTGGTGAATGAAACGTGTCCTGACTATTCACATTTTCATTACTATTTTTCAAGAAAGAGCTTGTTTGAAATCTGTAGATGCATTTATTGATTAATTACTATTTTTAAGTAGAAAGAAGTGGTGAAGGACTTGTTGGAAAAAGTTTCAGCAGTGCAGATATGGAAAAAGGGCATATGTGCATAAACACTTTCTGCCTGCATCCCAGTAATGTGAGATAAAGAAATTCATTAAAACCCCAAGTTCAATATGAAAAAGGTCTAAGATACCACCTTACTGATAATTAAGTTTTGACCAGCTTCAGATTAGCTATGGGAAGTTATCATTCATCTCAAATTGCATCTTTTGCACATACAGTACCACCAGAAAGTTTGAGGCAGGTAGGAAAATTTCGCAAATCATAAGAAATATGAAAAAAATCTAGCTTTTTTTTCTGAAAAACATAATTTTACTTAGTTTGCGTTAAGAAAATACATATTTGTGCAAAAAAAGCACATATTTTTCATTTTCAATTCAAATTTTACTTAAATTGAAATAACCACCACAATTTTTATAACGGCAGCACAGATTCTGGGTATTCTTTTGATCAATTTTTCTAGTGTACCAGATGGAAGGCCGTTCCAGCATAGTTGCAGAATGTCCCAGAAATTTTTGGTGGATGGTGTTTGTCTTTGTCGCTCTCTGCGATCAGTTCTTCCCACTACAATTCAATTGGATTCACATTGGGCGATTTTGGTAGCCAGTGCATTATTTTTATCATTTTCTGGCGCTTCAATTCGTTCAAACAGCTCTCATAGATCTTGTTACTGTGTTTGGGATCGTTGTCATGCATGGTCACAACGAACTCATAATCTTCTGGAACGTTCTCAACAGTTCCAGAGGGTATTCATTGAAAAAAAATATGCATCCTGGCATCAGGACGCATTGTCGCCAACGTGTTAACCGCACTTTTCGTCCCAGAAAATCTACGATACATCTTATCTCTATCAAACTACGCCTCTCCCCTCCTACACGGGCATACTCGTCACATCGCATTGGGAACGCCTGAATGCCGGAGGCATCAGAATGCTTGTGGTCGAGTGCGCAGCCACTTCACTTCGTCTTAGCCCTGAATTTCTTCGACCTCAGGGGACATGTCAGGAAGCTGGAATGTGAAATCTCACTCCTCCAGCGTACAGCAATCTTGGGCACAGCCAACATCCTCCGCCGTGTCCTTCAGAATATGTTTAATATGTTTGAAAGCCAGGAGAAAGTTGGCACACTTGCGGAAGGGCAATGAGTTTACAATGTAAACTTTACATTGCCCCCTTCCAAGAGAAATATAATAATGTGACGGATGAGGATGGCATCGAGAGGGATGGCATCGTCAGGGTGCACCCGAACCTAAGTGTAACCCGCTAAAACCATCGGTCACGTAATAAAAATAGTAAAAGACCGCGAAGTTAAGCAAGTTTGTCGAGAGTATCTAGAACAATGACACAAACCCTAGCAACAGTACGTACCAGTGGTATTGGCCTCTGAACAGCTTCGTGCCAGAGGCAAATAATTGCAGTTTCAAAAGTCCCTGAACGCTTCTTTGGTCATGATTCCCTCGACGCGATGAAGACTTCCTACTTGATCACCACTAAGGCAACCCCACACGAATACTGAACCAACTCCATGCTTGACGGTGGGCACCAAGCAAAAAAGTCCCTGAACGCTTCTTTGGTCATGATTCCCTCGACGCGATGAAGACTTCCTACTTGATCACCACCAAGGCAACCCCACACGATTACTGAACCAACTCCATGCTTGACGGTGGGCACCAAGCACTGTTCTGCAAATCTTTCAAAAGCAAATCTTTCACCATCTGTGCGCAAAATCTCGACGTTTGCAGCTAACGATTTCGAATTTGGACTTATCAGTCCAGACCACTTGTTTCCACATTATGACTGTGAAATCCTTATGCTGGAGAGCTCAATCCAGTCTTTTCTTCTTACTAACTGGATGCAGCAGTGGTTTTTATGCAGCCACATGCCCGTGTAGTCCGAACTCCTTTAAACGGTTTTTCACCATTGAAGTACTGATGAGAACAACATTGAATTGATTGTATAAGGATGCGATTTTACCAGCCGTCAGTCTTTTACCTAATGAATAAATGTTCCTAATTTCAATATCTTGCCGTTTTGTTCTTTTTTTTCGACATGCCGGTTCATTTTTGGCTCTCATGAGTAGAAAATCTCTCGAAGTGCCTCAAAGTTCTTTGTATGCAACAACGAGAAACGTTCATATTTGCTGCAATCTGAACTTTCGAGTATCCTCCCTCTGAATAAAGATTCTTTCTCTTTCTGTAACAGTTAGATTTAATATTTTACCCATTTTTGAGACTTAAAAAAAAAATTGAAAATTGAATCTGTCTCCAAATGCACTTTGCGAGATCATTGGCAGTATAACTGTTCCAGATAGTAAAAAAATGTAGTAATTATAACAAAATTAATTAAATATAATATTTACTAGATGAAACCTTTTCAAAATGTAAAAACTTTTAACGTTAATTCACTTTAAAGTGAAGCTAGAAATAGAACGCAAAACGTGTCCCTGTGTGAAATCGTGAATAATTTGAAAATAAATTGAATAATAACAAAGAAAAGAAAAGTTTCGGGAAATAAAAGCTACAATAAATCATTTACATTCCGTTTGAAAATAGAGCGTCAAGTTTTTAAAGTCTTTTTCTTGAAAAAGGATCATTTTTGCAACCTGCCTCAAACTTTCTGGCGGTACTGTATGCCCTTTTCCTCGAGAACTCCTCAATTTATCTTTAAGCATAGTGGTTCATGAAATAGTTCTCTGATTCTCCATTGATGTCTCTTCTTTCCAGCAGCTAAAAACTATGTTGAGAAGATAGAAATACAGTTGCTGGAAAGGAGAGTCAAAGAATTACTTCCTGAACTGTTACATCCAATAAGAAATTCTCAGGGTTGCCAGATAAGGGTTTAAAATTGGCCCTTTCTGGGACTGGACAGGCTATACATTCCTAGGCATCTAAGGATTTTCCCTTTTCATGTGATAATTTCTGACGTACCATTTTCCTTATTTTTACAAGTATAATTTTTGAATGGAAAATTATCCAATCTCATCCAATTACATCATGGGGCGCATTAGTAAGATCTCTACACATAATATTATATTACCCATGGGTTTAACACAATCAGTGGACTAGGTCAGGAGTTATGGGTCCAAACTATGTTGAGCAGCAGGCAAACCTTCTGGCTCTTACATAGAGAAATAAGGTTCCCACAGCTGAAGTGAGATGGCAGCAAAATCGCTGCTGTAGTCTATTCCTGGTTGGTGCTAGAGCTTTTCAAAAAGGAGCATCTGTGTCTGCATGTGTATGTGTGAATTTGTGCATGTGATAGCTTGAAATTTAATCTCTTTTGCTCTGGTTGCCTAGACTTTATATCAGATATATAGTATCATTTTGATGAATTATGTTCTCTCTTACAGATACTTATGGTGGTATGTAAAACAAATGTGGCACCATCGTAAGCCATATGTTGATGGATTGCGTCCGGTCCAATGCTCTCGCATGCAAGGTCTGTTGGTTTTTTCTTAATAAGTCTTCTTTCTCAAAAGAGAATTGAAGCACCTGATATGAATTCCATTGTGATTATATGTGCATGTTTACATCAGCATGAACCTGTTGTCAAAATTTGTGCATATTTTATTGTGTGAAGCTTCATGAAAGAAATTTAAATTTAGAAGCTGACATTGAGCCAAGTGGATGGTCATTCCTCCTTTACCTTGTTTCTATGTATCTCCAATAATTTTTCCTTTATTTTCCATTGTGGCATTGTCAGAGACAGCACTAGACTAGGCTCTAGGTGGACTAGGCTCTCCCAGATCATTTATCATAACAGATAATGCTAAAAAAAAAAAAAGAGATTTACATCCCCCTTTGTTTTTCTGGATCACCTAGCGGCACCAATTGGGGGTATGGGTGGTGGCAGCATTGGAAGGAGTGTCACAGGAGGATTCTGTCGCTTCCAGATGATTCCAGGAATCTATGAGTACCATTCAGTCTTTGGTGACAATTTCATCCTCACTGTCAGGAACAAGCAAGGAAAAGTTCTACAGACTACCCTTGCCCCAAGGTGAATGATCTTTCCTATCCTCAATGCAAAATAACTTGCCACATTGAAGCCTATATCTATCTGTTTTTCAGGGAAAGGGGTAATTCAAGCAAGGTTCTGTCATCCTGGAAGTACACCTTAGAGAACAAAGATTTGTCTCACGTGTCTCTCTACCCATGTGCATGGTATGTGTATGACCTGTCCGAGGTGAAGCTGAAGCTCACCTGCAAACAGATCTCTCCCATCATTCCTCATGATTATAAAGTAAGTAGATCAGGTATGTCATTGCTTTGCCTGATCCCTTGCTTCTAAGCATTGGTTTCTATAGGACAGCTGTCTGCCAGTGGGAGTGTTTGTATGGGAGGTGGAAAATATGGGGATGAAGGCACAAGAGGAAGTGGAGGTAAGTCTCACAATGACTTGGAAGAGTGGCACTGGGGATGCAAGAGAAGATGGAGTCCCTGGTCAAAGCGTGGAGACACAGTCCACACAGGACCATTCCCGCATTTTACTCCTTCGACACTCCAAGGAGTCTCAACCATTGACATATGGAATTGGGACTCGCACTGACGTGGATTCAGGGGTGAAAGTGACATGGTTGAAGCACTTTGACCCCAAGGGATCTGGGAAAGATCTCTGGGATCTCCTGCTGTCTGGTAAGGGACTTGGGAAAGAGGAAGGAGGGATGAAAGGGAAGGAGATGGGCATGGCCCTTTGCCTCTCTTTCTCTCTTGCACCATCATCCAGCAAACAGGTGGCCTTTGCCCTGGCCTGGGACATGCCCATCATCAGATTTCGTCGTGGGACCCAGGTGTTCGAACGGTATGAATGGCATTCACTTTTTCCTTAATCATTAAGGGAATCATGTTTTCTTCATGGTAAAAATCAGGTACAGTGGATTTCAGTGCAAAGTTTTGCATGAAAGTTGGAGACTGCATCAACTGGTGCCTGATACAGCCATCAGCTGGTGATTTGCATCTTGGAAGAGACCACTCAGCAAAGTTTTTTAAGGGTTGACCCAAGTCTTTTTCAGGGCTTCAAAAATGTTTTATTCCCAATGGCCACGTGGAACTTGTGTTGATGGGAAGCCTGCTTTTTCATAATGGATTTTGTTGAACATTGTGACTGGTGAATTTCTTAAGGCATTGTTAGAGAGTAAGTGGATTGTGATCACATTTCATGATAGGTATTGCCATGTAATATTTTTTTATTTATAAAGGTTGATTCTTTAATTATGCCATATTTTCAAAAATTAATTTTAAATCAATGGATTAGCTTACATTCTTGAAACTTGGGACAATTATTATGGAAGGATGGAAGTACTTTTTTTTACAGGCATATAACTTGTCAAAGTGTCCTATCCTTTGTGAAATTACATAAGGAATCCAGGATGTGTAATTTATTATCAAGGCCTCAAGCGTTTTGGTAGAAATGAAATGGGACTTCACTTTCAATTGCTGCTTTTCGAGCTTCCAATGTCCTGGGATTTTCTTTGAAGACCCTGCCCTTTAGACATCCCTATTAAAAGGAACCACAGGGATCAAGGTCACATGACAGAGGAGGTCTTGCAAAACCAGTTTTGAAGTTGGGGCACCTGCATGAGAGGACTCTCGGGCCAAAAGTGCAGCCTGTCCATCTCCCACAACTTCTGGTTCTCCTTTTCTTAAGTTGTCTCTCCTTGGGTCAAAGGCTCTTCTATTCCCTTAAAAATTGTTTACAAAATGCCATATTTTATTTCTGTTAGGAGCATCACATGAAACAAAATGTATTTTAAAGTCTCTTTTTCTCACTGTCACTGGCAAATTTCCACTCCTATAGTACAGTCATCCCCCGACTTGTGTCATCTCGACTAACATCACCGGTCTCAGAACCAATTACAACCTAACTTTGGGGGATGACTGTACTGTTTTATAATGAAATCTTTCGCCTTCACACTGAGAGACACCATGCTAGCAAAGCAACTGCAGCATGGGTTGCCCAAAAATTCCCAGGTATAGAGATAAATCATGCCAACTTTGGGGAATTAAACTTACCCCATTGATTTTTAATTAATTTTTTAAAGTGTGGCATAATTAAAGAATCGCCATGTACATTGCTTTTTTTTATTTTATTTTTTATTACTTTTTCTTCACCTTTGCAACTACTCTGTAGGAGATGATTGAATCCCTTGCCCTTGGATTCAGTTTTAGAGGTTTTTTTTAAATTTTTTTTCAAGGGCTTCCATGCTTCTTTGAGTTTCCAAGATGAATCTGCATTTTTTAGTGTCAGCAGAATTATTCTCCTCTCAAATTGGTGCTTGGTGCATTTAATCAGGATCTTTTCTGATTCCAATATAGCCGCTATACACGGTGGTTTGGGGCAGATGACACCACTTGTGGGAAGCTTCTTGATTATGCATTGAGCAACTGGGAGTCTTGGGAGGGAGCCATTGAGAAGTGGCAGGAACCTGTCCTTTCAAATCAGTGAGCCATTCTGCATCTGGCAATTAAGACAGTTTTTCAATGCAAAAAAACAAGAATTTACTCTCCATTCTGCATGCAGGGATCTGCCAGACTGGTACAAGAGTGCCATCTTCAATGAGCTATATTTTGTAGCTGATGGAGGGACCCAATGGCTGGAGATGCCTGATTCCTTTAAATCTCTATCAACTCATGATCCCAGGTATGTGCAAAGGCAAGAGGTAGAGCAGCTTCTCATGTATTCCATTAGGTACTGAACCTGTCAGTATCTCTTAAAGGAAGGAGTATGGTCGCTTTGCATGGTTGGAGTCTCATGAGTACATCATGATCAACACCTATGATGTTTACTTCTATGCATCCATTGCTCTGATTCATCTTTGGCCCAAGATTCACCTGTCCATCCAATATGACTATGCAGAAGCCACTCCACAGGAAGACCTCTCTCCAGTTTACTTCATCTTCACTGGAGAAACTGGACCGAGGAAGATTGCTTATGCTGTCCCACATGACCTTGGGAACCCTGGTAAATCCAGCAAAGATTATTATTATTTTTTTAAACCTGGAGCGGGATTGAAATAAAATGGCCCTTTGTGCCTGTACCTCCAGATAGCAATCCATACTTGGAACTGAATGCCTACCAGAGTCACAACACTGGGGAATGGAAGGATTTGAACCTCAAGTTCATCCTTCAAGTCTACCGGGACTTTAGGGTTTTTGGGGACCTGGAATACCTGAAAGACATGTGGCCAGTTGTGTCTAAGGTTTTGGAACGGTCCTTCAAATTTGACCATGATGGAGATGGGTTGATTGAAAATGGAGGATTCCCTGACCAGACCTACGACGTTTGGACTATGACTGGGCCCAGGTTCTTCACCTGTTCATTCTGATTCCCGGCTTTTCATGACAGGCATTTTGTACATTAAGGTCTTTTCCTGGGTCAGTGCCTATTGTGGAGGGCTCTGGGTAGCAGCCCTTCATGGGATGATGAAGATGGCAGAAGCTTTGGGGAATGAAAAGGAGCAAAAGACATTGAAGCGTGCAAGAGACAGGGCTTCTTCTGCATTAGTTGACCATCTCTGGAATGGTTAGAAGAAAATTTCCACTAGAAGTTGAAAAGTTCACAGTATTATACACAATAAGTGTGTTGGATCACATCCCCAAAAGCAAGGAAGCAACATTTCTGAGTATAAAAATCACCTTAAATTTTGCAAGGAAGTGACAGAGATACAGAAGCATTTGGGGAGTGCATGTCTGTTTTTCTTTGGTTTTCTTCTAAAGTATTGGTAGTTAATGGATGATTTTTGGCTTGTGACTTGACCTCCCTGAGTATTGCAGTTTGAAACCAGATTTAATGTCATCTGAGGCAAAAAATGAGGTCATGTATGATCATTCCACAGATATTTTGTGGCAAATCAGGGTGAGCTTTTTTTGCACATGCTTCTTTGCTGACTGTGTATTCTTGCAACTATGCCAACTCTTCCATTTAGGCTTCCCTCCCTTGTTCTCTTAAATTTAGCTCTTGAAGGAGTTGATTTGCCATCCTACTTATGTGGCTAGTGGCCTAGTCTACATTTCAAGACCACAGTTTGTTTTGAACATGCATCTCCCTTACACCTGGACTTGTAAACAGGAAATGTCTCCTTCAATATAAACCCTTTCAAGAGTTTGGGGAGCAATATGTGGCACTAATGGTATGTAGGCCATGCCCTTTGCAGAATGTAGGATTGCACCATCTTAATAGCTGTATCTACAGTGTCAGGTTTTTTATTATAACAATGCAAGATGTGTTTCTGGTTTCATCAGGAAATAAAAGTGCCCACGGACACATAGAATCAGATATGGAAAGGATTAAACATTTGGTGGTCTCTTCCATCTTTGCACCCTATGTCAAAGCAAAAACAGAAGTGTTGCTCCCACCATTTTTAATATATGAATGAATAAAGGATGGATGTATGTTCTATAATATCTTGAAAACCATGAAGAGCTAATTGGTGAAGTTTGGGATAATGATAGGTCTTGTACTGTAACTAAGCAGAGAAGAGTTTTTTCAGCTTTTGGTGGAGTTGCTCTTCCACAGATTCTTAAAGACTTGGATAAACTACAGTGAATGAAATGTGGCACTGACAAAGCCCTCAGACTGAAATTGAGCAAAGAAGAGTTTCATATCAAAATAGAAAATCCAAAGTGACTGTAAGTATAAAAATGAGAAAATCTGCACGTACAGAGGTGGTTCTCATGATACAAGACTGGTTGGATGCCCACCTGCTTTGCAAGGACCTGCATGCCCCCTCTTGTCTCCTATAGGATATGATTCATTGGAATTGTTAAAAGAGAAGAAAGAGCAAGGCTACAAAAGGGAAAGTAATAATAGAATGTTCCTGGTGTGTGTCTTTCTATCTAGGCTCATACTTCAACTTTGATTGTTCTGGAAAAGCAGAAGAAAAGGCTGTAATGGCAGACCAGCTGTGTGGACACTGGGCACTCTTGCTTGCTGGAGATAAAGAGGTCAGCAGGCCAAAAATTACTCTTTCCTATGGTGAACCCTTATTCATATGGAGGAAAAATTCCTTACTCTTAACAGGAGGTGTTTGAAAAAGAACATGTGAAACAAGCCTTGAATGCCATCTATTGCAATAATGTGGTGAATTACTATGGGGGGAAACAAGGAGCAGTTAATGGATACATCCCAGCCAGTGGGATAGATTTGACGTGTCCCCAGAGTGAAGAAGTGTGGACTGGTATCACCTATGCCCTTGCTTCTCTCATGATAATGGAGGTATAGTTGTTTTGTTTCGTTTTTAACAGCATTTCTGTTAGATCACTTTGTATTCCTCAAGATGCAATTGGATGAACACAGGGTAACAAAGAAGATGGGTGGAAGACTGCCAAGGGATTGTATCAGACTGTGTGGGAAGACAGTGGGCTGGGGTTTTCCACCCCTGAGGCATTACAAGAGCTCTCTGTCTATAGATCTGTGGGTTACATGAGGCCCTTGGCCATCTGGGCCATCCAAACAGCACTGGAGACTACCTGTAAAATGCAGTCCATAGATTGATTCATTGTCATCACTCTGGCATTGTTTTTTATGTTGCTTCCTCAAACTGTGATTTATCACATTTCCATTAGTTCTTTGTGTGATTGCATTATGCATTATTGCTCACAAATATTTTGTCAAAGATTGCCAAATTTCAAGATTTGGTATTCATAACAATTCCTTTTTTTTGTTGGGCATATATGTTTGTGTTTTTTACATCAATGAAACCAATTTGCAATGGATGTATCTTTTTCTTGCCACTGGAGCATGATGAGATTGTTGGGCCAAGACCTAAAATGCTGCACATGTCATTTCTATAAGGGTCCAACCTCTGTAAGAGAGATGGAAGGAACATGGAATGTGATCAAATTATCCTTGGCTGTCCTGCTAATCTTAATCACCTGTTTCTTTGGGACAATGCCACACATTGTGTTCAATCTCCCTGAAGCCTTGGCTAGTGAAGAGCAGTGGACAAAATTCTTGAAAAAGGTCCTTTTCATTAAGGGCATCCTGCATTGCTTTGAAGGGGGATCCTTGTTTGCTGTCATTGTGTTTCACATGCACAAAGAGATGTGCTCCATCTATGCCAACTCCCGTAATGGTTCTGCTCTCAGTATTCCTGGTATGTTTCTCCTTTTTGAATTGACTTCAGAAAAGCAAGTAATACCTTTTAATGAGACAGTCCAGACACAATTTAAACTGACCCTTGTACAGTTTCAAAGCACACTTAGCACCTACTCAGGACACCATCAGTGGCTGCTTGAATTACTTGTAGAATTGCTTGAATATCTTCTGGGATAAACAAAAAAACACAAAAAACATTCTGCTGCATCAAGTTTGTCCTGCTTCCAGTGAATTTTTTCAAATTAATGGGAATAAAAGAACAGTAACAAAGGGCTGTCAGAATCAGAAGTCATATTGCTAAGAATATTTGGGTACAGATGTGCAGAATCTGGAGTTGGTGACTTTCCTGGGCCTTCTCTTCATTCATATGATATCTGAAATTGGGCTTCTCATTTACCAATCAGAACAATGCATTTCAACAGCAGCTCAGATGTTTCAGGTTGGGACTTCTAAATCCTCACTCTCATTAGTACTTCTTGATCTTGTTGATTGAATGTCTGTCGCAGGTACTGACTTTTAACTCTCAAGGGAATGAGATGAAAGTGGAGCCAACAGAACAAGGAAAAGGTGAAAGTACAACTTCTGAAGTCATTTCGATGCCACCAATCATTTCTTCACCTGACAAAGCCCTGACGACACTTGGATCATTTGACCATAACCCATCAAAATCCATATCACTTGATCAAACCAGAGCGATATCCAGAGACCCATTCAATCTTACTCCAACCATATCCAAAGTACCTTTTCTTGAACCTGTCCACCTCATTAAGCCAGTTATCCTAATGCAGGTTTCCTCAGATGAGGTCAGATGACATTTCATCTCTGCCTCTCATTCTAAAAATGCTGAGAAATGTCAATGGCTTCTTGATACAGGAGGGAAAGACAGCTTTAGAAAGGAAGGCTCAGCAAGTTGAAGCGAAGGGAGCTGAAATGAGTCAAGATAAGGTAGCAGGGAAGAAGAATGAAGAGGAAAATCATAGACTAGACTGCAAGGTTGCTTCCATGACAAAGCCTAATGGAAAAGGGACAACAGAGGTATCCAAATCAAGTGATGGGTTGCACCAAGAGGCAAACAGGTCTTTAACCATCATTCAAAAGGGTCTCAGCTCCCATTCTACAGAGCAAGGCAAATCCAACTTGTTCATAATGTGATTCTTCATCACAATTTTCCCTTTTTGTTCATTCTTTGCACAGGGCAAGAATCTGAAGCAAGCAGGAAAGAACACATAAAACTAGGAAACAAAGACATCATCATCTACTATCCCTTCATGGAACATAATCCTGGTCTGACCAGCTGTTGCATAATTTTTTCTCCATCATGTTTCTTCTAGACTCCTCAATTGCAGTTCCCATTGACAACATCATGGAGAATTTCTTTCTTCTATGATAAAGGGATGTTGATGCTCTAAAAATCTACTGATGCAATCTTCCAAGTCCTATCGAATGTGCATAACTTAGTTGTACTATGTAAAGTATCTTTCTTCTGAGCATTAATGAAAGTGTGTCACATGTTTCATACTTTTGAAAACACGGGGGGGGGAGAGGAGAAAATAGAAAGTAAGAAAAGGTTTGACCAAGTAGCCAATTTGATTTAATAGGCTATTACCCAGACTATTGATCCATATCTGCATAACTCCTGGTTGAACATGACTTATTGAAGTACAATGTGTTACTCAGATCTGAATCAAACACTAGCATCCTTCAAGAACAGCTTCAATACCCAGTTTATAATCCAATTATAATTTACAGTTACACTGTATACCAGACTCATTCAGAGTGAGAAGCAGCTGAAAAGTAGTGGATTCAGGTTAGTTTTCAGTTGCATCCAGGATGAGATTTTAAATTGTGCAAGCAATGGGAAAATGTCCAGTTCTAGAACTATCATCAGGAAAATTGCATTCCCCTTGCCAAGAATAGAACACAAAGATCACGATTGAGCTCTCTCACAGATGAGGTCTGGGGTCAAGCCCAGCTAGACCTGGCTGCATGTCGAACCCACCCTAAAATGGCCCTTAGAGCATCCATGCTGATCCTCACAATCAGCATCCATTCAGCCTTGGAAGGCATTGCTGTGGGAATGTCCCACGGATCTCCAACAGTCCTGTTTGACTACATTGGCATCACCATACACAAATGTGTGGGTGGTTGTGTCATTGGACTAGAGTCCATGCTTCACAGACAGTCTCTCCAGTCCAGCATGGTTCATCTCTTGGCTTTTGGCATCATGACCTCTGTTGGTGAGTCACTCAAATACTTCTGGCATGGGAAAGCTGCCAGCTGCTGACATAAACCCTCATAGGTGTGACCATTGGGATCATCTTGGAGAATTGCATCCCCAACAAGCAGGCACAGGCCAGTCTCTCATTTTATGCCTACTTTTATGCTTTCACAATTGGGACTGTGTTGTATTCTTCCATTTTTGAAAGCCTTGGTTCGACCATCAGTACCATCAACACACTGTATACATTTGCAGGAGTTGTGTATGCATTTTCCATGGCAGGTGGCTTCTTGTTCATGTACTTTAACCAATATCTGGTCTTTGGGAGATATTCAACTATTACTCAACACTAATATTGCATGCTTTCCATTCAGTGTTGTAAAAAAAAGTATTTATTAAAAGTGGAATTGAGAAAAATAAATAAAATCAGATCCTGTTGAGGAGAGCTGGATCACCCACAAACTCACAAACATCATCATAGTCCAAATGAACAACCTTGCTGCGACCCCAAATTCGCAGAGTAGCCACACAGCGTCTCTTGTCCTTCTCTTCCAACACCCCAATCTGTAATGAATCCAAAAAAATGAATCAATGAATGAAAGCCACTTGAAGCAAGAGGTTACACATAAGGAAGAAGCTGTTCCTACCTGTCCATCATATTTACCCCTGAGAATCATGACTAAAGGCTCATCTCCTCGTGGTATAACTGTTTCTAGCATGCTAGGTGATACATCCTCCAACAACTTTCCATCCTTGGTTTTACATGTACATATGTCAGGGGCAGGAACATCAGTCACTGTCACCTAAAAGCAAGGAACAATCCATGTAAGCCAGAGGTGTCAAACTCAATTAGGCTGGGGGCCAGATGGATGCATTCAGGGGTGATTAGGAGTCACAATAAAAACCTAACACCTAATCTTTAATGCAATCAGGCTGAAATGTGTACTACTTTTCCATAACAGACTGTTGAAGAGGACTTTGCAGGCCATATAAAATGGACTGGCGGGCTGGATCTGGCCCACGGGCTGCCAGTTTGACACCCCTGACGTAAGTATAGTCCATCCATTCGAATCGCAGGTCGAGAGAGATAAGCAAAGGAAGACATTATCATGTCAGGCAGCACTGGGACCAAAGGGGAAACTCAATGATAAATGAGAGGAGAGGGGGAGTGAAGAAGGAAACCAGTGGCAGAGCTTCCTCTACTTTCAACCCTCTACTCCCTGAAAGTCTAAAAATACCTTTCCTCATACATTCATTCTTCTCACCTGAAAAAAGGGGCAGAGTTGCCCTTGGGTTTGGGGGTTGCCGATTTGATTGACACTTCCCACTTCTCACCCTCATTAGGCAGGTGCCGCATAAGATCTGACAACCCGCGATTCGAACGGATGCACTATAATCAGGGTTCATGAAAACCATGCATTTTTTTATGAACAATTTTTTTTCTGACTCAAGTTAGATTATTTTTCACCTTGATTTTTTAACAGCAAATATTTATTTGGGTCCTTGGCCTCCAAGAGTCTCTATCTAGTATGATTCAAAAATTCAAATTTTTTCACATTCAATTAGTAATAGTTCATGTTTGGAACTGAAAATGAAGGATAGAAAGATCTGGTCCAAAAAGAAAAACAATAATATATTTTCCCATTTTTAAACTCTTATCAATTCCTTTACTGGTTATTCCTTATTTTCATGCCAAAGATGATTTTGCTTGCCACCCTGCAAGTCTAAAGAACACTTGTTTCCATTTTGGTGTGAAAAGAGGAAAATAATTATGAAAACATGAAAGCTGAAAATTTTTTATGTTGTAAAACACATGTAATGTGTGAGACTGAAGTGCCCCAGGGAAGCTGATCATTCTTTTCATCATGAAAAGGACTCAAGCAATTGATGCTGCCGAAAACCCCCATGTCAGAATTTTTTCCCTCACATTTATTTTAATCAGTCTGGGATTATAGAGCACAAGCCAGTCTTGAAAGATATGGATGTTAAAGGGTAAAGGGGTAGTTGTGCTTTAAACTTTCCAGCCAATTGTTAACTTTCTCAATTCCCACTATGATAGAAACCACAAAGGCTGACTGCTAACTGCAAATATGAGAGTAATTTTAAGAAGAGTATTAATTTTGGTATGCTAACTCAACAAAAATTTAACCTTGACCAAGAGACTCTCACTTGAGCATGTGTGACTCACTTTCTCTTTGTAGTATTTGCCGCGTTTGTACACTGAGTCGACAAGACGCACTCGGAGATGTGGTCGGACCCATATTTTAATTTTCTTCTCTTCCTCTTTCTGGTCTTTTGTTTGACCATTTTGGGGTGAAATGTTGTTTCCATTCTGCAAGGCTTGAGATGATTTGTACTTGTCATACTTCTCCTTGTCTTTAAGAAGAGAAAAGAGAAGATGAAGTGATCTGATAAATTCAATACATCACTCAAGAGACAGAAAAACTCACTGAGGATTTTGGAGCTCTCCCGATACTCTTTGCTTCCCACAATTTTTACAGCCAATTCACTTATGGTTTCAACAGACCCACTGATAGCTAATTTCACTATCACTCTTGCTGTATCTGGATCCAACCCTTCCACCTTCAGAAAAAGAATTTTTAATCTTCTTAAAAAATGAAGTGACCATCATCTATATAACTCAACAGGCAAAGCCTAAAGATTTGACACATAATCATCCCAGGAAGTTATTGATAGGAAATGGAGGAATTTTGGATATGCCATTTTTACAAGGATGTTGTCAATAAGGGTTCCTGATTGTGGCCTAGTGGGATCTCTGAGGCAGTGCACGAGTCCATAACACTTGAGCATGTGAAGAAGACAGTGTGCTCATTGTCATTTAAGAGGTCTATATTAAAGTCACCATAGACAATGAAATGCTGTGCATTGGCACAACTGAAGAACATTTCTGATTTCTGGAAGAATATATCAAGTGCTCCTTTCAGAGGCCTAACTATGACTGTCACTTGGACTGAGTTTGTTGGCTTGGAATCTTTCAAGTCCAGAGTGTTTGTTGCATCTGGAACTGAATGACTTGGAAGTGAAGTTTTGGAGCATACTTTTGTGCTTGATATAATGAGGTTCTGACTGGTGGTTGGTGTGTTGGGTATCACTTGGATGGAGGAAGATGTCAAAGGGGACCTGAGATTTTGCTCACTAAGGGGAGCAACAATGACTTCTGGTTTGAATGATGTGGATGCAATTGAAGCAAAAATTATTTCACAATATGATGCTTCCCTTTCTTGTTGAGGTGAAGCCCATATAGGATGAAGAAATTGCATGGTATTCCTTAAGTATTGAGGAAATGCACTTCCTGATATTGACATCAACTTCTCAGGTGTGTGATCCATGTATTAGTGATTTCACTCAGAGTAGGTTGGTCATGCCAATGAGGGTTACCAACTTAGTGCATTTGCAGTCTGGGATGGATTTCTATCAGTGTTACTAAGGAAGATAGAAATCTAGGGATGTCATTCTTTATGTTCTTTAGGAATTTGGATGAGAAGTAGTGAGGAAGGTAATTTGTTCCCCACAAATGATGATACATGGCCAGGGACATGGGTTGCTGCTTTTGTGGAGAGGTGATGGATTTCACTTAGGACATGGTTGGGGGTAGAACCTGGCTTGGTCACTCCTGTTAGTGAGGATATACAGAGATGGTTATAAAGCACATTGACCTAGTTTCTGCCATGAGAATCAGCTAGGAGGATGCTATCTTTAAGAGAATCGACCATTGTTCTCCTTCCTCTGGTTTGTGTAGTGCAGGGGTGTCAAACATACAGCCTGTAGAGGTGGTTCATTCGACGTGGCGTCTGTTCTTGAAATTTTTGCTTGAATTAACTGTTAGCACAAATTTCAGTGAAAAATTATGGGTACAGCCTGCAGGTAACTGCAGGGTTAGGAATGCAGCTTGCTGACTGATTTGAGTTTGACACCCCTAGTGAAGGGGAAGGTTGACTACTAGCTGGTGATAGGGATCCAAATCTTTGGTCAGGCTCATGCTCCATTCTTCTCCTTTGAGGTGATTTTTTGCTTTTGGGCATGGTTCATGAAGGAGAGTGGATTGTAGGATTGTACATGACCTATGCTTGGTATCAGATTGGGGGGGGAGGGGAGAAATTGGTTGAGGTGGGCAGGAAGTGAAGGAGTCTTCCATGGGGTTAAGTATGGCCAGAGGAGAGAAAGAGTTTCTGAGCTACAGGCTGAATGACAATCGGTAGTTGGTCACTTCAGGATAATCCTTGACTGTCTTCTAGCAGGGCAAGCTGATGAAACCATCATTTGGAATGGCAGTACAGGCAGTCCTCACACTAACAACACAATTGGTTCCTGAAAGTCATGTCGTAAGTCGAGGACTGCCTGTACTGGTAACCTTATCAATGGATGATAGCTCACTCAGTCCATGGACTATTTGTCAATTGCATAGTCTTAGAGTTCAGGCCTATCTGGATCCAGAGTCCAGAGAGCAGAACTTTTACAATTTTGTTGAGGTTTGTGTCTTCAAGTCCTCAAGTGTAGGCTTCACTGGGACTTCTGGCACAGGCTTGGGCTGATTAGATTATGGGCTGGAGCATTAAGCCTAGTTTTAAAAATTCCTGGAGAGAGATAGAGGTTGGACAGTACCAAGAACCAGATGGTAGTTCATCCTTGATTCCAAGGCAATCAAAGTACAGCCACCATTCACAAAACACCATCATTGACATAAGTGCTACACATAGGACAAATTTCATGGATGGTGTCAAGAAGTTTATCATCATTGGCAGCTGTTTATGCAAAAAAAAAACCACCATGACAAAGTGATGCTACAAATGAAGATATTGTCAAACCTGGCCATACAGTCCTCGATGAGGTCCTTGAAGAATGCAGACATTTATCCCTTTTTTCAATTCAGCTGGAGGATCATCTCTCTCCTCTACCCCCTTAGGGTCCTTCACTGCCTTCCGAGTAGCACCCAATCCCAAGCCAACAGGCCATGGGTCAAATCCTATGCCAATCCTTCAGAGAAAAAATAAAAAAGACAATGAAGAAACAGTTCAATAGAATAGGAACAGTTACAAGTCCTTAAATACCTACTCTGAGGATTTCTTAACATCTTCATCCTTGAGACCCATGCCACGTAGCATGGCCATACCAAATTCATCTATTGGAACATCTTCATAATCCTCCAAGCTAGCCTGAAAAAAGTTGAGATCTTTTATTTTCCAGTGTCACTAAACAATATATCAATAGATCAATATATAGTTTATGAATAAAAAATTAAGATACTTCTCTTAATGGCTTACCTCTTTTCCAAGATTGGAATTAGACTCAGAAATGTCCTCATTTTGGGAGATGATAATCCCAAGGCTGCCTTTTTCACCACGCTTCTCCCACATCTCTTGTGCATTTCTTGTGTCTGACAGAGAGGTTTTCAAGGGATAAAATCATATTAATTAGGTAATAAACATCAGGAAATCCTGAAGGACTGAGAGGGAGGTGTAACTAGTTCAGAGGGCCACATAAACTTACCTCCAATGATCTCCTTCACAGCCAAATTTTCCAATTCATCTTGGGAGGGTGGTGGTTGATCAAGTTGGGCCTGTGATGATACATTGTCCTTGGCATTGATCTTTTCTTTCCGCTCATCTTTCTTCTCCTTCAGCCTTGCCCAAAATGTCCCTTTCAGCTCCTCGCCAAGTGGGATGACTAGTTTCTTTACCTCTTTCTTCACTGTACTGAAGAAAAAAAAAAACTAACAAATTCATCCCTGTCATCAAGCTTCAATATACCATTAGCAACAGCAAAGTGAAAATGTTACATTATTGTTAGTAATAAAAATACACTTGACACATGCTTGTGGAGAGCTTGTTCCAAAGGGATTTAGATCAAGATAACCTAAAATTTTGTATTTCTATTTGGTCAATTACACGAAGGGTCTCATAACATTCTTCACTCCCATGACATAACATTCTTGCCATTACAAAGGCTGCATTGCTAGCTGAAGAAAATTGTAACATTTAACTGATAATCTACTTCTATGATTCATACTGTCACTACCAGAGTTTTGGAGTCATTGTTGGAATAGAATGTTTTCTAGCTTATAATTTTTTTATGGGAATGCTTAGTGTAGACAAACTAGTTTTGAATACCTTTGAACTACAAAACCTTTCTACTACCTACAGAACCTACAGAACTGTGGCCTTTCCTCACCTCTGGATGACACCTGCCTCAAAGCCTTGGACGATATCTACCTCTTCCTTCTCATCTCGAGTGGCCTCATCCCTTAGTTTGGAATCTTCCAACTTCCTTTTCTCTGCTTTCTTCTTAAACCCGAAAGAAATCGTTGCACTCATGATGGGAAGCGTGCGGAAGACGACAGTCAATAGGGAGCGGCCATCTTAATTCCATTTTCAACCAATGAGGCGAAGGGATCGGTGACGTCAAAGATATGGCTGCCTTCCCGGTGAACGAACGAATATCTCATAGTCATGTGCCGTCACGTCCTATATCGGAGCATCTGGCATGAAACTTTTAATCTTGTGTCGGCGTTCAGAACTTGAATTCGTCACTGCATCATTTGTCCCCGGTACGAATGTATTGGAACAGCCGTAGGCCTAAGGATACACGAGTGTCTGAGTCATCCTAGAGTGTTCCAAACTCAAACGGAAAGAATGATCCATAAGGTCAAACTTCATCACGTGGGAGACAGCCGATAAGCATGCATCAGAAAGCTATATCCTTAAGTACGGCATCCTGTACTGCAGTGCCTTTGGTGATTTGAAACTAAAGTGCTTCTTGGCTACATAATTGGCTTTCCTAACACACTTTTCTGATTGAATTCGTGCCTCTCCCGATTAGTGGAGAACTGAGAAAGCACTACGCCCACTATGAGGATTCGCTTGATCAGACGATTCAGAAAACCACACTTGTGAAGATGCTACTAGTAGGCATCGATTGAATTGCCCCTATGGGTGGGGTACGAATTTAATCTGAGAGCAGTGTAAGTACTGAAGGATGCTCTATTCTAGGGACTGTATTTGATCTATGAGCTAGGCCGCTCTCGTGTCTGTATCTGGGTTTATTAATAATTATTAGATTTATTCAGGATAAAGTGAATTGTGAAATTTAGATTGCCATTGGTTCTGTAGCCTTAAGAGTTGGATTGTACTTGATGGGACTCTTGATTGAAGAAAGAGTGAGCAGTTGCCACTGCTGTGAAATGCTTAGGACTGTATTGTCATGATTTGGCTGAGGTAAGGCAACCAGATCATTTTTCAAGGACAATCTGGGATAATTTTCATGTTTACAGTTGATAATTGGCTGATGAGCTGTTCACTACACATTAGAGGCACAAAAAGGGAAAATTCCCTTTTTCCCCCTTTTCAAAAAAGGGATTTTTTTGAGCAGGGCTGTTCCACAGAAAGCAGCCTGTCCCGGTATACCAGGACAATTGGTCACCTTAGTCATAGGCTTTCTTAATAAAGAAGTTAGGAATAAGTGTTAGCCTAAGCCAAATAACCACAAAGGAGTGATGATTCCAATAGAGCAGTTGTTCAAATTGCCTTATGAGGAAGTGTCTGAAGAAATGCCTTCAAAATGTTCAGGCTTTCGTATGATAGAGGTGAAATGTTATGATGAACAATTAAATTCTATCTCAGCCCAGTGTAGGTTCTTAGAAGACAGTTGGTATGCCTTCATATTGATGGAGGAAGCAGCAACTTGCCCCATTTCTATGGGACAAGATTATATGTGTATGCAAATGTTGAAAGGCACTCAAGGTATGGAGGTAAGCTAGATTAACCCTGTGACTGTGAAGTTATTTTTGCTTCTTGTGCACTGATCTGGGGTTCTTTTTTCATGAAACACCTTAGGAGCAAGTGTAGGGCAGGTTTCTTATGGCTCCAGAAGATTTTCAGATTGTGGTACTCGCTGAAGTCATCAACATACAGTGGTGTGGAATGTTTACTGACATAGTTGTACATCACACCCAATCATTGGGTAACCATCTTAACCCCCTTTGTGCTGAAAACTATAGGCTTTATCAGTCTTTTGAAAGATGGTAGCAATATGTATAATGAGCACTCACATTTGTAGTAACAGTTATGATGTGAGAGGAATGCTTACTTGGGGGACTTTAACTATTTAAACTTGGTATACTATGGACTAAAGATGGTGCCTTCTTGAAGTGGCAGATGCATATATACCTACACCAAAGTGAAAGTATTACATCTTTTTTTTAACTATGAAATTTGCAAGAGTTTCTGAATGAGTAGAACAGGTGGTGTATCTGTCTGTTTTGAAAAACTTGGGTTTCCTATATGGATTGAATATATGAATTCACATTTTCTACCATGTTCCAAGCAGCATTAATAACATGTAATTAATGCAGGCAAGCCATGTCTCACCTGAAGAAGGAATAGGACATTGCTACTTTGTTTTCATTTGAGTAAGAGGAAGATCTTGGTATTTGTGCAAAGGACCATCTTCAAAAGAAGAATGCTACTTGAAGTTTTCAAGTTTCACTTTGATTTTGGGAGATGTGGGGTGACTGTTCTGAAGAAAGCCTAAGAAGTCACATTTTGGAAGAACCAAGAGGACTCTACTAAAACTCAGGAATTCTTGATTTTTCAGTGATAGAAATATCACTACATGTTGAATAAAAAGTATTTTATGTTGCATTTGGATTCTGAATGTGTTTTGCATACATCAGACATTTTTCCATTATTCACATGCCCATTCAAGTGTGTCTGAATCAAATGGAAAAATGCATGTCCCCTTTGAGTGTAGTTTACATGCCCCACACATCAGTGCGCAACTGTCCAGTTGTGGTTCATGTGCTTCACATGTTGACTGATTAGGTAATGATTTTGGGAGGTTTTCTTATTTCACAATTTGGCAATCAGTGCAAATGATGTATCATGTGATAGTCAAATGATCAACAATGATTTTCGTCAAAAGTTGCATGCGATGGAAAGTTACAGCCAGAGGTGCTTAAAGGTTTAACAGGGCTAACTCTGGAGACCCTTTTTGCTGCCTTCCTTCCTGTTGAGACTCAAAGATTGACACCTTTTTTATGTAGCCTATTATTTTGGGGAGCCTACTGATGCCAGTGGAGCTAAAATTTATTTTGGCCTTACATACAAAGTTATCTGGTATTTGGTAGATGACCCTAAATTCATTCCATTAGTACTCCCAGTACTCTTATAAGAACATGTGAATTAATCACAAAAACTGCTGTAAAGGCTGAGGTGTTTTTCCAGTAAAAATATGCAGAAGGACTTGAAGTTGTAGCAAATAATTGTGGTATCCCTTGGGTAGAGCTTATTATCTTACTGTAATTTTTAATTTCCTCAGTGTATCTTGATTTTTTTGTGGTTACCTGATATTTATGCCTTCACCTTCTGTATTGAACCTTCAACACATAGACTGCCAGGCTCTGTGACATACTATGGCAGTCAATGTGTTAACACTATGAAAATAAAACCTGTTGACTGTCTTGGTGATTGGCATACATACAACTATGCCCAACATTAGCTAAGTGATAGGCCAAGGACTAGTCATTCATACTCTCGTATTTAGACTAGAAGATATGCATTTTTCCTTTCATAAGGTAAGCTTTGGCCTTACATGATGTTATTACTAAAATTGTGTTTGCTAGGCCTGGCTTAAATCCCATCTGCATTGGGGTTAGTTTTTTTGTTTGTTTTTTTTTCAAGTAGGAGGATATGTCTTCATTCTAGGTACATATAAATTGAGTTCCTGAAGCCAGTGTAGTAGGGCATAGTCCTTCAGCAGAGTGAAGAAGATATCAAAAGCATCAGGACAATTTTCTTGCTGAAACAGTGAGGCTCTGGCCTCCTTTCAGTGACCTGCATTTGTAGTTGCTGAGCTTCTGTTTGATCAATCATGGATGACAATCCATTTGCTGTAAGTTCATCTAAGTTTGGTCTTGTTTCTTATCTTATTCTTTGCTATCCTGTAGCATTTGTTCCTGATATCTCTCCTTTCTTAGGACCCAGCTGTGCAGCAGGTGACAGAAAAGTCTGGTGCAGTTTCTGCTGGACTTGAGGACTATAATCCCTTTGCAGACAACTCTGCAACTAGACCAACACCTGTGAGGATAAGTTTCCTTTTTCCAGTGAATAATTTGGGATTCCATACCATGGCTCCTGACAAGCCTCTGTCAGAGATGTTCAGTGAGCATGTATGGCACCACATTGATGACATAGGTATCAGTAAATGGATCTCAATAAGGAGAATGAAAATGTCTCTATTTTCAACCCAGTCAGTTCACATGGTCAAGAGTTTAGAATCAAAGAAACTGTATTGACTTTTCTAAAAAATGTATGTTCCAGAAGAGATAGGTGGTCCATAGGTGGCTTTGTCAAAATCATAACAATTAACCAGAATTTAGAATTAAGAAAAACACTCCAACAATAGGTTACAAATTGGACAGGGGACTGTCTTCAACATTTGCCATCTCAATCAGATTATGAGGTCATCATATCCAAGCATATGAAAAGATCAACCATTCCTATTCTTTCTTACTAATGCATGCTCAACCAAGTACATGTGTAATGGCTCTATGTCTTGACTCATGGAGGGAATATCACCAGAATAGAAATAGAATCTGGCTGGGAATATATCATTTGTAATTTTTTATGAAATCCCTCTTTCAGAGCTTTCACCCCCTCTTTGCCAGAACATAGAAGACAGTGATTTAAATAATAAAGGTGGTAGGGTGGTATATGTACCATTTATGCTCCCCCCTTCCCTGGCTTTCAGTTTCACCTTTCTATAGGTCAGTCCCAAGTCACACCTGTGTGATTCTTTGAACATATGGTTATGAGTTTTAGAGTACGTGACAGACTACTTACCAATGGGTGTTTTAAGGGGTGTACATCCAAATGAAGTTGTAAAATTTCATTATATTTTGAAAAAGTATCTCTGATGGTAGAAGTAGGATCTCATCATTTTCTATTTCTGTAGGGGTGGTCATTTTTTGGGCCAGGAAGTATCATAAAAATTTTCTCAGGATGTGGATGTGGATTCCTCTCAGTCTTGTGGTATCCAATCTTTTAAGTCTCTGAAAAATATTTCAGTGAAGAATTTTATATTTTGTCATGATTTTGCTATTCTAGCAAGTACGTGGAGCTGCAAACCCTCCTATGTATCAGGGTCCAGCTATGATGTCCCCAACAACAATGGCAGCTGGAGGCGAAGCTCTTTCTCCAGCTCCCCCTCCTGTCTACAGTGAATCTGGACAGCAGAAGATTGATACTGCTGAGCTTCAGGTATATTAATGGCTAACATACACTTTGTAGCACTGCTGTCTTTGCAGGCTTCATTTTGATGACAAGGCATAGTCATTTTAAGATGTATGCCAAAAGGTAATTTGCTATAAGTCATATCCATTGTGTTAATGATGTTTGTTATGGTTAGAGATAATCTCTAGGTTGGGATTCAAATGGAATGAGAATTCCTTCCATGTATATATAGGTCTGGTAACATACTCTCCTCTTTTTTTTGTTGTAAGTTATGAACTGACAAAAAGTTAGTTGTGCACTGTTGCAATAGAGAAATTAGGGAAATTCACCTTTATTTTTGCAAAAGATAGCATTGAAAAGTGTGATGCAAAGGGTCTGGTTGTTTTGGGTTGAATTAGACTTGTGTTTCTTCCTGCAATTGTTTATGTGTTGGAAGTCAGACTTCATTCAACCATCACATGGCCAACCCAAATGTTAGTAGTTTGTGCCTCTCACATTTTAGAAAAATTCTGACTGTATCCAAAATATGGCAATATGATTCTTGTGATCTGAGCAATGCAATTGATTCCAGGCAATTGGGAACCATTTCCTTTGGGGCTGTATTGATGGCAGTCTTTGACTGGTAGGCCGATGGCCAATAATGATATATTATGCCTTCATAGTTTTGGTACAATTCCCAACCCAATGCTGATGCATCTCCCCTCTTTTCATCATTGTCTGTTTATCATTTAGTTTCAGTTTTGTCACCTCTCACTTCATTCTCTGAATCTTCTGGTTTTTCTTGACTTATAGAGCCTTAATTCCTTGATCCTCTTTTTTTCTTTCTACTCTCTTAAGTTTGAATTCATCTTTCCTCTTAGCTTCTTAGGAGTTCTTGCTCATGTGCTGTTGTAGGATGTGTCTTCCCCTATTCTCATGAGCAGAGTCCTTGGTCCACTTTTCTCTGTTATGATACTATTCCTTTTTTCATCACAAATCCTTTTTTTGTCTTCCATTGTCTTTCTCTTTGTTTTATTTTTTCATTTCTGCCCTGCTTTGTCCAGATTTTGTCATCTGTACTTGTCTTGCTTTAGCCTTTCTTTAAATATTCATTTCCATCTATTCTTTCCATTTTTGTGTGTGCCTTTACCTTGTCCTTAGATGGCAAAAAGAAAGTATCTTCCATTCAGAAGCGACTGTTTCTGTTATTATGTGTCCCACCCATAGCTCTTTTTTTGTTATAGTTGCTAATGTGCACTACATAGCAATTAGTGACACATACTTTTGATATCTGTTTGACTCATTGAGTGACTATGGAGTGACAGTGACTATGGAGAGAATACTTTAGCATAATTTTAGAAGCAGTTTGGGATACATTGCTCCTTTTTTGATAGTATCAACAGTTGAGAAAGGGACACTGAGTTTTGCAGTTTAAGAATGGATGATTACTACTGATTTTCACTGTAAACAATAAAAGCATGATTCAGTGATTTGCACTAGGAGAAACAGGATTATTCATGGATTTCGGTGGAATTTGAGGATCACTGTGCCCTTCCCATAATACTTCTATGACAATAAATTAATTCTGTTGTAAGTTCTCTCAGACTTTGGATTGAATGATAGAGGTTCACCTAAAGATTCAGATTTGATTTTGGGAGGATAGTCTGACCTCCATTTTACTCACAACATGAACATTGACAATGGTTGGAAATTTTGATCTTGAAACCACCACCACAAGGGTCATAACCTTGTGAATTATCTAAATGTTTATGCCAAAGCATTTTTTTGCTGTCCAACCAGTGAAACTTTTAAAGTGCTTTCTTGAAATGTACAAGAAGTACAGCCATAAACAGTGAAAGTGTAATTTGCTTTCATTTCCAAGACTCACCGCTCTGTCTATTGCCAGGAGTGAAAGGGTAGAATGGTATTTGTCTCATCTTAAGAAAGAAACTTCTTTTCTATCATATCCAGTACCAATATGCCTCCTGAGTTTTGTCTAATCTCATATCAGAGAATTTGGATGCAGCCTATTGATAGTTTTGGGTAACTGAAAAATTGTTCCATAGCATATTCTCATTGCAAAAGAAGGCATCTTAATTTTTCAGTCATACTCCTCACGTTTTATTTAGAAACAGGAAATGAAATTAATATGTATCTTCCATGTTATAGAGGAGGCAAGAGGAATTGGAACGCAAGGCACAGGAATTGGAGAGAAGGGAGGAAGCACTTCGTGCCGGCCCTTACAACAGTGAGTTGGTCAGCCTGTCAGCATGTGTCAGCATATTTTTTTTATTCCCCCTTCTTTCCGTCCTTTCGGCATGAGTAGAACCTTAAGCTCCTCTGCTGTACATCTCATGGCTGAAGAATGGGACCAGCATTGGGTATATTCTCTCACCTACAATAATAGTAAGATCATTTATTTCTTTTAGTCCTAGATTGCAGTGATTGCATGCCTTGCAGAAGAATCTGTTTGCACAAACTTCTCAAATTTCTCAGGTGAAAACATCAACATTCTCTTGGAAGCAGATTCTGTTTTTATGATCTGATTCTCCTAAAAATCATTTGTTGATGAGTGCAAAGAAGTGTTATATTTTGATCGCAAAAGAACTTATATTAAGAGACAGCTTGGCCTACATTTTTTTTTTTTTCAGAAAGCCATGTTACTCTTAGGAAATGCTTCTTGCCCTTGAATGCTATTTTTGATCATGTGCCTTGCAAAGGTGTGAAGGATGCTATTATTTTGGTTTTGCCTCACTTGCAGCTAGAAAAAACAATTGGCCTCCCTTGCCCGATAAATTTTGCATCGGGCCATGCTTCTACCAAGATATCAACGTGGACATCCCGTCGGAATTCCAGCGGATCGTCCGACTCGTCTACTACGTTTGGATGTGTGAGTCGCGATCCTCGTCCAAGTGTTCGCGATGGCAAGATGGTATTCCTCGAATGATTGTGGTTCTTGACGATTTCCTTCTTCAGATCATTCAGTGTTGCTTTTTGCAAACCTCCTGGGTGGGCTGGCACTCATGATTAAATTCGGTGAAGGCTCCACATTCGGCCTATCCCTCCTCTTCTTCGTCCTCTTTGTGCCGGCCTCCTACGTCTGCTGGTTCCGACCCATCTACAAGGCTTTCCGCAGCGACAGCTCCTTCAATTTCTTCATCTTCTTCTTTGTCTTCTTCTTCCAACTCTGCGTCAGCGTGATCCAAGCCATCGGGATCCCCCAGTCGGGCGCTTGGTCAGTTCCATCGTCTCTTTGTCGTTTGTTTAACACATTCCTGTTTGGTTTCCCTTCCTCATCCTAGAACTTGTAGCAAGCAGAGTGCAAATAAGTGCTTTCTTTTATTCTTATTACATTAACTGTCTGGGTTTTTTTTTGTCAGTGAGTTTTGGAGTACCATTGTATTGAAAAATTGAGTGTGATAATGTAAGTTCAAAAGCATTTATATGACTGGTACTTAGGTCTTCTTTTTGTATGAATATTACATTTCTTAAAATAAGAGCTAACTATTTCTCTGACTTGCAGAAAAAATTACCATCATTTGCTTAATTTCCTCTCACCTCGACGCTGTAATGATGGCCTCGTTGGACTTTCCATTCCGAGGTCAACTAAGAAGAAATTCAAATCGAAGGGAAGGGAAAATGCATTTTTCCTTGTGTGTTACCGTGTATGCTGGCTCCTGCCGTAGTGGATTTTTCGTGGGGCTGTCAAAGATCACGGATGCACAGGGCTCGATCGGAAAGTATGTTGTCGGAGGGCTGGTCCTCTTCATCGGACTCGGCTTTGCCCTTGCCGCCCTGGCCGACTTCATCCTTCTCATCAAGGTAGTTCCCGACCGTAATCGAGAGAATGCGAATGCAATGCCTTCCTCCCGCCTGGTCGTCCATATTGCACGGTGGTCGGTCGCTGGATGATCCACTCTCTCGCTCACACTTCCGTTCTTCCCTTTCCTTTTTTTCCATGTCCCTTGGTTTTGGGGGTTGTTGCGTGGCTTGCGTTGGTTTGCATCTCGTCTGTGGATCGTCCTCGGTAGCGGTTGGACGTACGTAGTGAAGTCGTTCTCGGCCGGTCACGTGTTCCTCGGCGTTGTCGTTGCGCTCGTGGCCGCCGGTTTCACCGTCGAAGCTGCCTTGTCGGCTCTCGTTGTCATTCGGGTACGTCTCACTTTCTCTAAAATCTTGCATCGTGAACGAAGCTCTCCCGTGCGAAGCAGACGCAAGGCGTTCGGTAGCGACGACGGTCTCTTCGATCTCTTTGTCACTAACGATCGGCTTTTCTACCTTTACTCACCGTTAAATTCTCTAACGTTGCAGCATCCCCTGGTGTTTTATGCAGTTGCAAATGACGTGCTCACAGTCGAACGCAACCCGTAGTCGTAGAATTCCCTCGAATAGAGATGGAATGGCACCATCGTAGCTTATCGTAACTCCTGAAGCTGTCATCGCATGAGAGCGACCGTATCTTGAATTTACATTTATGCAAACCATGCATGTCATCGACGTGAAAAAATTCAGAAGGCTGCCTTCACAGAGGCTCTACTATGGATCGATCCTTGTTCCTGTCCTCTCTTGAGTACTCGTGGATGCTGTTTCATGCTGTTTTCCCCCTTTTTTTTCGAGAGAGTTTGAGATGATTTCCATGCGAGTGTCTTGATTTTTTTCTGCTCGTCCGCGCATGAAGAGTGTCCCGATGCTTGCTGCATAACTTTGACTCTAAGTACTTACCGCTTAGATAGGATCTAGTGCTCTAGCATGCATGTTTTCGATGCCCAGAGTTGTGATACGGTGAAAGAGTCTGTAGTTTAGGTGCATGTCCCTAAGAAATGTACTTTCAGAAAATGTTTCCATCGAGAGTTATTTTTTTTTAGTCTTCGGTTGTCGAAAATGAGTTTCTCTCTCGAATGACTGAAAAAATTGTGAGATGTGACTGGATGGCTGACGACGTGCCGTGACTCCGCGCAGGTGCACCGACTCTACCGAAGCACGGGAGCGAGCTTCGCCAAGGCGCAGCAGGAGTTCACGTCCGGCGTGATGCAGAACGAGGCGGTGCAGAACGTGGCGGCGAACGCGGCGGCCTCGGCCGTGCAGGCGCAGTTCCAGAGGCAGGAGCCGCGCTACTGAGCGACGCGATCCGCCCCGGATCGGCCCGGAGAGTGTGTACAGGTATCTCGAGAAACACGAATCTGGTGAAACGGAAATGATTTTGTGATATCGTCGTGGATGTGCGTGAGCGAGTGCGTGCGCGATCGAAGCATCTCGCGGTTTGCTTTCGCGTTTACGATCTTGGAGGTGCTCGTTCGAATGCGTGAGAGAGAAGACGATGCCCACGAATGACGTGCACCGAATCGGACCGTCGCCGCGCACCGCGATGGATTCCCGGAGAGATTGCAAAATCGTCTGCAGGCGTCCGGTGCACGTCACGCGTGCGAAACCGTGGATACGATGGGTGTGGGAAGCGAAAATCGGCGATCGAGGAACGGATCCGTCTCGTCGCCTCGCCGTCATATCTTTATTCGTTGTGTCTCTTTTTCCCTTCTTCCCTTGCTTACGGTTATATTTAATTGGAAGATTCATTCCCCGATACCGATACCGAATAAACGTCTCATCTATCGGAGCCGAATACCGATGACCTTCGTCGTTTCCTTTCTGCTTTCGCGCGAAGCCCATTCCGACTCGCGACTCGCGCGAGCGCTTCTCCGTTCGGGTGGTGACGTCGTCTGCCGGAGGAAGGGCAGGCGGGATTCCGTTCCCATTCTTCTTACCGAAGGTTTCAAAAAAAGTTCCGGAGGGAAACGGGTGGCTGCTGCCAGCGACCGCAGTGCCTGTGCGAGAGAGTGTCGCATTCGAATATTTCCTAAATGCAACGGAATTGCGATCGAACGTAATTAAAAGGATTGCCACTGCTACCGTAATGCATTCGTCTCGAAGTGAAGTTATGAATGCATTCCAAAAGTATCGATAGAGAACACGTAACTACTATCGTATTGCAGCGAGATCGCATGGGTGTCGTAGTGACTTTTGAGCCGTCGTTCCACCGCAGGGACGTTGCGATCGCGATGCATCACGCGAGCGAATTCGACGAAAACGGAATCGAGGCTCGTTTTCGATGCGATGATTTGGCCCCATACGGGAAGCGACGTCGAGTGAACGGTGAGAGACCCCTCAGAACCTATAGGAAGTCCGATGGCGACATCCATATCGTTCTGAGTACGGAAATGCAGGAATGGGATGTGCAGCCCTCATCCTCGACGAGAAAAATGCATTCGAGAGGTGGGAAGCACACTCGTTTCGACCGGGTGCGGGGCCGCCGGGATCGACCGGACCTACATGGCGTTCGAGGAGGCGAGGAGCCTGCCATCTGTTGGCAGCGGGTGGAATCGAAGGTGAAAGGTCGAGGTGAAGTTCCTTCCATTTCTTCTCGAATGCGAAGCGGTTGGCTGCCACAAATCGTACTTCTTTGTGGTTTCCGCTCGATCGTCGTGAGTTTGTCGCCGATTACTTGGAGTGGCGAGTCGGAGCCAACCGTAAGGCCGACTTTTAGGCCTTTGAGGCTCGAGGTAGCAATACCCCATGATAAAACATGATTTTAAAATTTGCGAAAAAAAAAATCGTTTTCGCAAAAATTGACTCAAACTTCAGACGCTGAATATTGCTTTCCCGTTGGAAAAAAAATAACTAAACTTAATTAGGTGTTATTTAAACTAATTAATATAGTATTGTCGTATTTACATCTCCTTAGTACCGACTTCGACCCTCGAATACCGTGTGAAAAGATGAAAAATGAAAGATTTCGACGCCATAATTCTTGTCGAAGCCTACAGTTCACTCTGGATTCCACCCCAGGCGCCTCATTCCATGGAGTCGGTAGGTTCCGTGGTTTTCCATCGCCTTTGCGGATGGATCGGGGGGTGCTAATTCGCTTCTCTGATTTCCCGAAAAACCCATTTTCACCGGAAGTACGGGGCCGTTGAGCACGATGTCTCAGGGCCTCGTCGAGATATCCGTTTCATTTTTGCTCTGTATTTCCTTGCATTGGCGGTCGTGGAATGACGAGAGCATTTCCCGATATCGTGGATGCGATTTCAATAATTAGCATATTAATACGTAAGAAGCGGGTCAAAATGGACGGAAAAAAATTTAAATCGGTCGAATGTTTTTCTTCTGAAGGAATTTCATAAAATTGCTCTGTCGTTCCAAGCTTTATGATGTCTTTTATTACGTGTGTGAATTTCATCCATTTATATTCAAGGATTTATATGATATCGTGCTTGAAATGTCGCCAGTTTATTTTCCCTCACGGCGGCCACATTGACGCCTAATTAGTATAATTTATGCAAATGATGCACGAAATCGAAATAGTTGTTCGAGGCCTCTGTAGCTCCCGCCATGACTCATCGCCTCCCCCCTAGTCGGGCGCCAGGCTACGGTCCGAAGGGGTTCAAATTAATTGCTACTTCTCCTCGACACGTGTCCTACACTGTCCTTTCGTCATTAACACGTTGGCGACAATGCGTCCTGATGCCAGGATGCAGATTTTTTTTCAATGAATGGAACTGTTGAGAACGTTCCAGAAGATTATGATTTCGTAATTACTGATAAAAATTCAAAAAAATTCAGCATTTAAAAAAAACTCGGCAAAAAAAAATGTTTTCTGGGACCATGCGTCCTGATGGCAGGACGCATTTTTTGACAAAAAAAATGCGCGTGGTCCCACGCGGCGGACAAGCAAAAATAGGCTGGTCGTCAACGTGTTAANAGGACGCATTTTTTGACAAAAAAAATGCGCGTGGTCCCACGCGGCGGACAAGCAAAAATAGGCTGGTCGTCAACGTGTTAACAAAGGAGAATGGCGGAAAATTAGGACAGCGACAGATGAGGACGGACCGGCGGCCTTCGTGAAATCGATGGCTTTGCCGCGATTCCGCCGTCGAGAGGGATCAGAGGTCGACCGCTTTCCCCCAGATCTCCTCGATCCATTTTCGGTGACATCCTTCCGGCCGTCCGACCGTTCGGCGTCTGAGTTTACCGTGACGCGGACGGTCACGGAGAAGAGTAGTAAAAAACTGGACTCGGAGGGTGGACGGGAGGAGGAGGTAGAGGTCGGTGAAGGGTTCCGGACTTCGCTGCTGCTGCTATCATCAGGCACCGGGTTAGGGTCCCTCTTGGGAAATCAGAGCCTTGCCGTTTCTACTCGGTTGGAGCCGAGGTGCCTGAGCGCCGGTCGTAGCCGGGCTCGGGTGGATCCGGTTGGGGCCAGATTCTGTTCCTTGCCGGTTGGAGCCAGAAGGGACGTATGGAAATGGCAAGGCCGAAATCGGATCGTTGGAGCCCGAGCAACCCCTACCGGTTTCGTCGTTTAGCCGTGATCGAACGAATCACGAGACCTCGCGAAAGTGCTGCATCGAGGGGGTGAACTTAATCATTTTCTCGTTCGTAGAAGTTCTTTCATTTTTGTTCATTCACCTTTAAAAGCGAAAGCTGTCGATCGCGAAGTCGTACCGAGGAGGATCTTGTACGATCTCATTTTGGGTACTTTGTCGATGAGAGCCATGAATGGAATAAACGAAATCCTGCGAAAACCCAGTCTGTTGGAATCGTTGTCTAACGGCCACTGATTCCGTCCGACCGATACGAACCATCCCAAAAGGACAATTTCTAACATCCTTTTTTTAATTTTAATTTTCTTGTTTCGCGACGGTCGAGGTAGTTTGCGGGTAGCTATATATGGATACAGCGACGTACGAGTAATACCGGCCACGCCAGACGACCGCGAGCGTTACACCTCCAACCTGATGAGCAGAGTTGATTTGCACCACAGGAACTCGCCTATTGCCACCTTAAGGTGTTGACCCTTAAGGTAGCCCCGAGCCTTAACATGCTGGAGATATTGACCCGTTTTCATTATGTGCAACTGCACCTTCTCTCGTCGAGTGTTTCAAACGTTCACGTGCCCTTAATGGTCTAGCTAACTGCCGAAATATGCCTCATGGCTTGAGAACGGTGTTCGTGATGAGGATTTTTCCCGTAAGTGTATAGGTATAATGCCTTCACTTTCCGATTGGTTTTGTTTTGCATCGGTACTGCGTAACGAAATTTTTTTTTAACACCTTAAATGTGATATCGTTGGCTATCAATTACTGCCATGCGGGGATCTGAGGGGTCTCATTCCCACAGGGACCAAATGATTGCTTTGAAAACAAGCCTCGACTGGCGAAAAAGCGGAGAAGGTGGGAAAGTGCGAAAAGATGTCGAGAAGTTTTCACCTTTTCAGCGGGCGGATCGCGAGTTCGCCGTTCCGCGGCTAGCCTTCTCCGCTTTCCAGATGTTTCGCAGCACGGCGATCGTCGAGAAGCCGACGGCACACCCGAGTTCACCTCGGTGAATCGCCTCCGTTTATTTCGCGGAACGATTTAAATCGATTTTTCCGGACGGACGGTCGTGGAAACGGGTGTCGTCGTGCGGTCGCCTCGCAATCGGCTTACCGTCTTGGTATATGTTCCGTGCGTTCGACTGGAGGAACTGGAATGAAGATATTTCCCCTCTGGGCTTGCAGTCGCGATTATGCCTGCGCGATTCAAAACCGGCCTTGGAGACACTCGAGATCAAATCGCAAAGACATATATATCTACCACAGTAAGCCATTGAAATCCCTCTCCCCCTTCGCCCCTTCTCATCCTTCTACAGCATGATGCGACCGTATCTCCGAGCAGTAAGCCGTCTGGTTTTCTTTCCTTGCATGGTAACGGCGTGCGCCAGCGATGCACGATCTTTAGTTTTTAAATGCCAAATTGAGACTTGGAATCGAAGCAGTCATCATCGAAGGCCGTTCATCCGTGAAACTTCCTGCTCGGCCCGACTGCGACCAGTCACCAAAGCCGGTAGGAAAGATGCTACATCTCCCACGTTCTCTTGACACACCCACCTCCTCCTGACGAACAACTCAGGAAATTTTCCCTGCAAGGTCTCACGTGCGTCGCCACGGTATGCTTCGGAGGACGCAGTACCGAGTCCGAATTCCCCGCTCGGCAGACGGCGAAATTCCAGACTCCCGAAGCGTTCACGGTTCCAAATTTTCCGAGTCATCGAAGACGACGAGCAGAAAGGAGAGGAAAAAAACAGACCGAGACCCAAGGAAACTGTTTATTGATTTCCAATACCGATGTGATGTCGAGAGAGAAAGAGGGGAAACAGCAACCAAAGGGGTATTTCACTTCCTTGATCCTCACTGTGATGAGACTACCATGAAAAAAAATTACGTAAACTTCCGCTCTCACACTATACAGCGTAGAACACGTCACACTGCGCTTCGTCTCGATTTCCCATTCCCACAGTGCACGTGGGTAACAGACGAGAGAGGTATACATAATTTTAAAAAAGAACGTAAAGAATGCCACTTGGACGACACCAAGGATTCACGTTGACTCTTCCGGGTAGGATACGATTGCCACACCTTCACTTCGGCGGGCTCTCGCACTTCACCGCCTCCTTCACTTCCGTCTCCATGGACTCTTCTTCCTTCTTGTCCTTCTTCCCGTCGGCCTCTGCGAGAGAAAACACGGGTCCGTTCGAAACGGCACTCGAAAGGCGAGAATCCGAAAAAGGAAAAGGACGCACCTTCGTTCTCGTTCGACTCGGGAGTGTTGTTATCGCGACGACGCTTCCGAGCCGGACCGAACGACGCCCTGCGAACCGACTTCGGCGGCGGCAGCTTTTCGATTCCCAACACCTTGTAGATCTGATGGAAGGCGATGAGCCTCAGCGCGTGCTGAGCGCTGGCCGTGATGTCCTCGCGCTCCTGGTTGCTCAACGGCGCGGCCGCGTCCATCGCATCCTTCTCGCATGGATCCATGAGGCCAGGACCTCCCGGCAAGAGGATCCCTCCGGCCAGAGCTTCGAATACTCGCCTGCAAACACAAACGCGTCCGTCCTTCATCTCGACTCTACATTTTAAATAAGAGGGCAGTCGCCACGCTGCATTTCGACTGAAAACTGAAACACAATCTATAACTACGAGTAGGTCAAAGGCTCTTTTTCGAATTGACGGTGAAAAAATGTAGCGAACACCCAAAACAATAAGGCACTTCCGAAACGCAGACGGGTGAACAGAAATCGAGTGCGAAATGGACCTTTCAGACTTAAAAAGCTAAAATGAATTCGAACTTGAAAGCTGTTGAACTAAAACCAAAGGTAATCTTCAACCGGTCCATCAAAGGTATAGTCTTAACGTGAGAGACACCCAAACAGAATCCAAGGTGTTACCATGGAGAGGATATATACAAAAGAAAAATCTGTATAAAAAGGACAGTCTTTAACTGCCAACTACATCAATCTTCTGTAAAGTCACTAAAGGCAAGTTGGAACCGAACAAATAACCAACCCCACCACAGATAACCCTATCAGTAACTGAGCTCTACCTTTTCTCGAATTAAGGAACTTGAATCAAAAGTTGCCCACTCAAACTCATTCAACAAGGGTTTTTCCTTCCATCTCCAGGCAGAAGGCTTTGATGACTACTGGTCCATAAATAAATATTTTTGTTCCACTCCACTCCAGTTGACTCAATGCCCGATACATCAGCAGACATGAACCGATTCTTCAATGTTCCAATTGGAATGCAACATGTTCATATACTTAGGGGGCAACAAACTTGTGAAAAAGAGGGAGCAAAATAAACTACATGATAAAATATGCTGGTCCAATACTCAGATGTTCCAATAACAATGAACTAAAATGGTATTAAATGAGTGCTTCTGGCAGAAATACAATTTCACAATCAAAAGTACACAGCATCATCCATTCTTCATGGATTTCACCTGGTCTAGTTCAGATGCAATGAGAGTTTAAGAACTTTTCAGTTCAAGCATTGGTTCTCTCATCAGTGCCATAACAAGGGGTGTGCGAACGGTGGCACAGGGCGCCAAACTGAGGGGGGCGCCAAATCGCAGCCAGATTATTAAAAAATATAAATAAAACTTTAAAAATGTCAAATTATCCTGAATTTAACTAAATTAATCATAGAACAAGGCAATACTAATGGAAATTCATACCTACAATAGAAGTATCATCTATTACTTCCAAGTAATCAACTACTTTCCTCTAAGTAAATAAGGACAATGAAGTAATGTGAAAACCAATTTTCAATCGCTTTCCCTTACTTCAACCTCCCCCACCCCTCCCCTCTCCTCCAGCCTCTCTATGGGACTCACTAACGTAAGGCATAGGCCTAACCAACAGACTGCCTTCAGATCACGTCAAGGCCTACTTTTTCCTTTTCAAAAGAAACTCAATTCTCGACTTACGGCGCCAATTAGGCCTATAAGGGTGAATCTTCGAGACATCTGGTTAAGGACGTGTAACGTTAGGCTAATCGCAGGCCTATTCATACGTTCATGAACCATTTCAGAGTGGACGTGTAACGTTAGACCGATTGGAGGACTGTTTCGCGTTTCATGAACCACTTCAGTGCGGACTTTGAACGTAAGGTCCATCATGAGTTCCTCGAACCATCTCGAATAGATCTGAGGAGCGAATGCCCTCAAGCAGCATGGAATCCATGGTACGCGCCATCCTGTTAATTCAGGGATGTCCGAATAAGACAGCAGCATATCCCACCACATCGATCAATAACAGCTAACCACCGCTTCATTCTCAACTCATCTCATGAAATCAGCATAAACATGTCTCATGCATTAAAAAATAGAAGATCCAGACGCCAATACGAAGGTTGAAACAGTCTTGAATCTGGCATAATTTCGGCACGGTATCCGGCAACACTGGGGGACGGTGCCGGAGCAAGCTCTCTAAGCCTAATTGAACGACAGCTAATTTCATTTTTTATGGCGAAATGGAGCATCGCAAACAGCAAAAAAGCCACTTTTCGTCATCTACGAGTTAACATCTTTCTTATGGTTGATCTCTTTCTTCCGAAAACCTCCCAGGAGTGCCTAGCCAGAGGGGGGAGAAAAAAAAAAAAACGGAATGAATTTGGCATCTTCAAAAAGGGAGATTCAGTTTTCTTCACAACCCGGGGGAGATAGAACTTCAAATTTGCTGGAGCGATTCTGTGTT